GTGACTATTTTTAATTAAACTACTGATTACAAGGTGGCATTGGAGATGGTAAATGACAGTATGCTTAATGAAAAAGTAAGACAAAAAGATTCAGACTTTAGGAATCAAATTCTGATCACAGAGAACAAGGGTAAAAATATCGACAGAAGTCAAAACTTAAAATATCGTAGTAAGTTTAAATATAGAGCCAAGTTCAGAGATAAAGTAAAGTGCTTCCATTATGGTAAAGCTGATCATATAAAACGATACTGTAAAATCTTGAAGTAAGAGCAAAAAGATGAAAAAGGTAAAAGTTTGAATGATGGCAATGTTGCAACAATGAATTCAGATAGTGATTAGTTACTTTGATTTGTAGACATAGTGATTATAATCATGTTGGTGATCCTAATATTAAGTGGATAGTTGACACAGAAGCGGTATATCATTGTGTTCCTAAAAGTAAGTTATTTATAACTTACAAAGCATGAGACTTTGGTTGAACCGAGATAGGAAACATGAGTGTGTTATAGATTATTAGGATTAGTGATGTTATTATACAAACTAGTATGGATTGCATGTTAACTTTGAGGGATGTCAGACACATATCAGATATGATAATGAACTTACTTGTTATTAATGTCTTTGATAAGAAAGGATATGAGAGTCGATAAAAGAATAGGCAATGAAAGTTTTTTAAAGAATCTATGGTAGTTGTAAAGGAAAAATTATGCTACACAATATATAAAACATGGATGTAATTAAACAGCAACTAGATAAATACCGTTAAGGATGATGCTTCAATAAACTTGTGGCATAAGAGGCTGACAGACATGATTGAGAAAGGGTTACAGATTTTAACAAGGTAGTCTCTCATTCCTTTGACCAAATGTATATCTCTTGATTCATATGATCATTATTTATTTGATAAGCATTGTAAGTTTCTTTTTGTAAGAGTTCTCAAAGAAAAGAAAAAAAATTAAAATTTATTTATTTTGATGTATATGATCTCATTAAGGTTGAGTTATTAGGGGGTAGCAAGTATTTTGTTACTTTTATCGATGATGCTTCACAAAAAAATTTAAATGTATATGTTGAAAAACAAAAGTCAGGTATTGCAGTATTTTTAAAAATTTCATGCCATGGTAAAAAGGATGATAGGGCTACCCTTAAAGTATATTTGAACTGATAATGGTAGGAAATAACATCCAAAGACTTTAAAGAGTACTATTCAGAGCATGAGATGATAAAACTTGGAGCACCATAGCATAATGGTGTAGCTAAAAGGATGAACCACACCATTGTAAAAAAAGTCAGATATATGTAGAGGATAGTAAAATTATCAAAGCTATTTTGGGGTGAAGCAGTCAATACAACTTATTATTTACTTAACAAATCATCATCAGTTCTTTTGGGCTTTAACATTAAAAAAAGAGTGTGGACAGAAAAAGATGCTTCATACTCTCATTTGAAAGTTTTTGGGTATAAAGCATTCATGCATATGCTAAAAGAGAAGAGGTCAAAACTTGATAGTAAAGTCACATAATGTGTGTTTGTAAAATATGGTGATCAAAAATTTAGGTACAGGGTATGAGATCCAATTAAGAGAAAGACAGTCAAAAGCAAAGATGTGATCTTTCATAAAAAAAATTATAACAAACTTCGAAAAAAATAAAAAAATTACATGGATTACTGTTGAATGTGATGTTTCAACATCGATGAGCTTCCTTAGGAAAAAGCCACAGATAGTGGAAATGAGCAAGAAACAAAATTTAAGGATATGAATGAACCAGTCATAATTAGTAATAAGCCAGATATAATCAATTTTGAGTAGAAAAAATAATCCTCTTTACCTGAAAGTGTTGAGCAAAGGAAGCTACCTTCGACATCAAGTGGTGTAGAATTTCAACCTAAGAGATCTACTGAGAGCACAAGCCATATATTAAGTATACAAGTTTAAATTTTATTTTTGTTACTAGTGAGAGAAAGTCAAAGAGCTTTCAAGATATGCAGGTTACTATGGATAAAGAATACTGGTTAAAAATAATAAAAAAAGAGATGAAGTCATTGTGAAAAAATGGTACTTATGATCTTATTAAACTTTTAAAAAGGAAGAAGTCGTTGAAAAATAAATGAGTGTTTAAGTTAAAAAAAAAAAGATGATGACAAGGTAGTGACGTACAAAGCTCAATTGATGGTGAAAAGTTTTTCAAAAACCAAGCATCAATTTTAATGAAATCTTTTCTCCAGTTATGAAGATGAGTTTCATTCGAGTGGTACTAGGATTAACAACTAGTTTGAATATTGGGCTTGAGTAACTTGATGTTAAAACTGCATTCTTGCACGGTGACTTATAGAAAGACATTTATATGAATCGGCTTGAGGGTTTTAAAGTGAAAAAAAAATAGCACTTAGTTTGCAAACTAAAAAAAAGCTTGTATGATGAGAACAAGCTCTACGATAATGGTACACAAAATTTGATTCCTTTATAGTGTGCACACAGCTATAAAATAATGACATCGGATCTTTGTGTGTATGTCAAAAAAATTTTTGATAGTACATTTATATTCTCTTATTATATGTTAATGATATGTTGATTGTGGGATAAGATATTGGTATAGTTCGTAGGTTAAAAGAATAAATTATCTAAGTCCTTTGATATGAAAGATTTAGGTTCAGTAAAATAGATTTTCAATATAAACATTATCCGAGATAAGAGAGCTGAAAAACTGTGGTTGTCACAAAAAAAGTATGTTGAACGGGTGTTTAGTAGATTCAACATGCAATATGCTAAGTTAGTTAGCAGTTCACTTGTCAATCATTTTCTTTTAAGAAATCTTATCCGGTGATTAAAGAAGAGTAATTAGCTATGTCTAGTATTCTTTATTCTTCTATAATCGATTCATTAATGTATCTTATGATTTGCACACTGCTAGACATTGCTCATATAGTTAATGTAATGAGCAAATTTCTTTCTAATCCAGAAAAGATTCACTAAAAATAGTGAAATATATTTTCAGATATTTGAAAGGCACTTCAAAAATGTGCTTGAGTTATGGAGTTTCATAACCAATTCTAAAAGGGTTTACTGATGCTGACATGATAGGTGATCTTGATGGTAGAAAATCTACTTTAGGATATTTGCTCATTTTTACAGGAGGAGCTATGTTTTAGTAGTCTAAGTTATAAAAGTGTATTACTTTATCAACTATAGAGGTTGAATATATTATAGCAACCAAAGTAGGTAAAGAAATGCTTTGAATGAAATTTTTTTTCTTGAATTAAGATTGAATTAGAAAGAGTATGTGATGTTTTGTGATAGCTAGAGTGCTTTAGATTTGAGTAAGAATGTCATGTACCATTCTAGAATGAAGCACATTGATGTTAAATGTCACTGGTTACGTTCAGTGATTAAATAACAATAGATGCTGGTGAAAAAAGTTTATACTAATGAAAATATAACAGATTTGTTAACTAAAACACATTTTAGGGAGAAGCTTAAACTCTACAGTAACTTAGTCAGAATGAGTTTCTTAGCCAAGGTAAATTTTAAATAAAATTACTATGATGATGAATCTCCTACTAATGAGGCTAGAAGGGAAGATTGTTAAGAAAGTGAGGTCTAGTCCATTGGGTTATTTGACTATTCAAAGGCCATGGGCCTTGTGTTTTTAGGCTTTTTTAAGAGAGCCCTACATAATAAAAGGTAAGGGCTGGTTTTTGGTAAAAAAAAAAGGAGAAATAGAGGAGGCGCTGAATAGAGAAAAAACAAAGCCAAAAAATTAAGAAAAAAGGGATAAGGGAGAGTTGATTGAATAAAAGTCGATTCGTGGTCCAATTGAGCTAAAATTTTGTTAGCATGTTTATGATTCAGAGTTTTACATTATGAACGGTGAAGATTGGGTTTGAAGCTCTCTAGGAACAAATTCAAGGTATATATGTTGAGTTACCTATTTAGTGAGATTTCTCCAATTGTCTATCTAGTTATTGATTAGCTTTAGTTTTAGCTAGAAAAGAACTTTGTATATTCATTATTTGATGGTGAAAATTTTTTTGGTGATCCATGATTTTTCTCTCTATACTGGAGGGTTTTTCACATAAATCTTGATGTGTTTTATTTTTCTTGTATTTTTTTATTATTGATTGTTATCTATTGCTATGAATTTATTGTGATATATTGCTTTTGCATTATTTTATTTATTGCTTTAGACCCAACAATAACATGGAATAAAAGCAAAATAAAAGCTAGGTAATTGACTCGAATAAAACTCGAATTCACTTAGTTATTATTGAGTCGAGCTTGAGCTTAAGTGGCTTGACTTATCGATCGAATCAAAGTTTGAGTATTCTTATACTCGTCTCAAGTGGCTTGCAAGCCTAATCGAGTTTTTATATTTTAATATATTTTAATTATTTTAATTAATAAAATATATCGAATTCGATCTCGTGTTTGAGTACAAATAATCGAGTTTTTGTCAAATATAAAATCGAGCTTATTTTTATATGTTAATCAAACCTAATCGAATGAGTTTGAATAGTCCAATTTTTATCTCGAGTCGAACTTGAGCTAAAAAAATAAAATTTGATCAAATTCAAATCAGGTTTCGAACCTCGAATTTTGAGTCGAGCTTGAGCTCAAACTCAAAACTATATCAATTTCAACTCGATTAATTACACCTTTAATGTCACACATTTTTTTAATAAACAAAAAGAATTATTTTGCAATAAAAAATTCATTTTTAAATTAATACTAATAACATACGTTAATAAATTAGTTAAAATAGTTGATTTGGAAAACTATGTGTATAACATATATTCTATGTAACCTTTCCTTTAAAAAATTCTTGAAATTTACTTTATTCTTATTCTTTTTTTCCCTTTTATGTCGCTTGACAACCTTTTGGACAAAAAAAAAAAAAAAGACCGATTTTTATACTTCGAACATGACCCGAAAATGGGCCTAATTCGCCGAATGCTATCTCGCCAGCTGCAAGTTGACTGCTTTTCTTGTTGCCAACGTGACAATGCATTCCTCGTGAATCAAAACAAGCACTTGAAATCTATATAAATTTTATAATATTGGTGAATTGCCGAAAGTCGATAGCCGCGTGCGGCAAGCCATATAAAAATAAGGCACCAATCCATGCTATAATGGTAACATGCAAGCAGCTCGAAAGCTTTCATCAATTGGCCTTGACAACATGGAAGTAAAAATTATCTCCAGAGAAACCATCAAACCTTCTTCTCCAACTCCACACCACCTAAGAATCCACAAGCTTTCTCTTTTAGATCAGATAGAGATAACTGAATCTATTTACATCCCGGTTATTCTCTTTTACTCGGTTGCCTCTGGAGATCCCCGGAAAAGATCTAATATACTCAAAGAGTCCCTCTCAAAAACGTTAACCCAGTTCTATCCATTTGCTGGAAGAGTCAAAGATAGCTTCAGCATTGACTGTAATGATGAGGGTGTCAGCTACACAGAAGCTCAGGTAGCCACTAATGTGTCCGTTGTTCTTCAAGATCCTGAGATTGATTTGCTGCTACAACTACTACCCAATGATTCCCTTGAAAGGTTGCCGGAACCAACTGCTGAACAGGTTTTGGTAGCAATTCAGGTGAACTTCTTTGCTTGCGGTGGGATGGCAATCTGTGCTTGTGTTGATCATGTGGTAGCTGATGGAGCAGCAACAGCAACCTTTATTAAAAGCTGGGCTGCAATTGCTTGTGGTGCTAATTATATTGACCATGATGTGATATACGATTGCACTTCTGTGTTTCCTCCACACGATTTAACAAGTTTCAAGGAGAAATTTGCTAATGAAGATAAGCATGAGGTACCCGAACCTCAAGGTAAAATTGTGACAAAGAGACTCTTGTTTGATGGCTCTAAGATAACTGCTCTAAGGAACGAAATTGGCAATGGGCCAAGCTCCTATCGTCCATCAAGGTTTGAGGCTGTGTCTGCGCTCATTTGGTCCGCCATGTTGTCTACAACTACAAAAAATGACAGAACTTTCTCGACGACAACCATTTCTATGAATCTGCGGAACAGAACGAATCCACCAATGCCACAACAATGTATTGGAAATGTCTACCAAGTAAAAGAGGTGGAATCACTGATGGAGAAGACGATTAATCTTAGCATTCTAGCAGGAAAAATTCATGAGACCATAAGAAAGGTAGATGATGACCATGTGAAAAAGCTTGGTGCGGGTGTTGGAGCCTACATTAATCTTCTTAGAAGTAAAGTAAAAAACAACAAGTTTCTTTTCGTTAGCTGGTGTCGATTCCCTTTCTATGAAACCGATTTTGGATGGGGAAAGCCAATCTGGTTTGCAACTGCTTTGAGAATTAATAGGGTTGTATTTTTTCTGGATACCAGGGATGGTGAGGGAATAGAAGCATGGATAACACTTACCCTGGAAGAAATGGCCAAATTTGAGCAGGACCCTGGCGTCCTTGCTTACTCTTTTTCCAAGCTAAGCAAATGAGAATTCTGGATTCAGAAGTCCAGGAATTCCAGGGAGAAAAGTAAGCTTTCTACGACAATTTCCTCTCTGCTTTTTTTTTTTTTGTGAAAGAAAATGATCATCTCTGTCAAACCTTCTTTGAGACTTAAAAAGTGTATTGCAATAAGGTTAGTCCATTGTATCTTGGAACTCAACTTGGTGTTTTGGGAGCAATTCTGTTCTTATAAAAGCATTCTTCTATATGTTTTATTGAAGATTTTGAAAATTGAAATAAAGTTGATAGGTTTTATCTTCATAGTGCATTTATAATTAGGAACTCTTTTGGATGGGAATTTCACACACATTGAGTTTCTTTGGTCCTTATCAATACAGGGAAAGTTTCAATTTCAGAACCAAATCAAGTGCACCTTGTTGAACCAAATCGATTAAAACTAATAAATCATAATTCCCAACGAATATTTTTGACAGTAGTCGAAAGCTTGCCGCTTGAATTCCGAATTCCGGATTCCAAATTGATCGAAGCATTTTCTCGTGGTTTCTTTCATAACAGTCCATCTCTCTGTTATAAATTAAGGGTCTAGCCATAAAAAGCAATTTCTGATGCAATGAGAACCCTTCATTGCACTTCCAAATGGACTCTAAAACTGACAAATTTTCACAGTTTTGAAGGTCCGGTTTTACCCAAATTGTCATTTTTTTTTTCTTTTTAAGATGAAAAGGAATAGTTCATTGATGTTAATAACTAGCTTCAGATCACAAAAGGAAGTCCTGGAGAGACCTACACCATACTCCCTGGTCATCCACTTGATATTCTATCTTAGCCGCCATCTCATGAGCTTGATATTCTATCATAGCTTCAGGATCACAAAATAAAACAGGCAAGTGGCGACTGACGCAGTCTAAAGCAAAAGTCCAAAAATATCATAAACAATATTGGAAAAAAGAACGATTGCAGTAAAATTAGACTGTCTAAAGTCGAAATTAAGGACATATTCTCCAATGTATTTGCCACGTTCGGGAACAGGGAAAAACATGCCATAGTGTTACCTTTTTTTTTTTTTTCCTGGTTCAGCACCGTCTAGAAGACTGGGGAATAAAATCTGATCTCATAACCAAATTAAACAGATTAATCAATGAGAGGACATGAAACATCGATCCAACATCAACTTTTCTGGTTCAGCACCGTCTATGGTATATTGCTATATATATAAACTTCATGGTCGTATAAAGCTACACCAATGGCGCAATGGGAGTCCCTCCTACCGCACACTTCTAAATAGATTGTAACACATATCTAACGCTTACATGATCGGTTTCAACCAAAACTCAATTCATGATAGATTCAAATAAAAAAAACTACAATAAAATTATAATTCCTAAATCTTAAAAATTCTAAAAAATATATTTTTATATATGTTAGACATACTTAATGGTTGAGCTACTTGTTCAAATCTAAAAATTTTGTTTGAAATTTGAAAAATTTTGGATAGAAATATCAAACCCATTAAATGAGTCTAAGCTTAAATTAAAAATTTGTTCAAAAAATAGACAGGGCCTTAGTTATAACATTTAAGACCCATGTCTATCCCAACTTGGTAATTATATATGCTTTTATATTTATAATTATATTATAAAAAAATAAATAGATAATTAAATAATATATATTTACACATTAATACCTTATATTTACATGTATCAAATCTTACTTAAACATCAAATTAAATTTACAAAGTTATCATTTTTAAATTTTATTTTGTTGGTTTTTTATTTTATCATATTTAATATTCATTATATAATTTATTTTTTATTTAAAAAATTAAAATCTAAGTTTATCTAGATAATTTCTTTTCATTTAGGATCGATTCTAAATAGCAAATGAAGCTCTTATTATTGATTTGTGATACATCTAAACAAATTTAAAATTTATTATTCTTTTTGTCTTTTTTTTTTATTAATTTTTTTGGTATGTTTCAAAATTATATATATTTTTTACATCTAAAACTTTTTTTATACTTTAAAATTATTTTTAATTTTATTTTTTACTTTTTAACATTAAAAATTATGAAATTTAATTTTAAATATTTAATACATTAAAATTAATTTTTTTTAATTTTACAAAAATTAATGCAAACAAGAATAATAATATCTTAACTAGATATGAACTAGATATGTAATTAAGTCGAGTCAAACCGATATAGTTAGAAGCTTGAACTCGAACTCGACTCTCAATTCGTAACTCGATATCTGACTCAAACTATATCGAGTTTCATTTTTCTAGTTCGAATTTGATTCGTGATCAAAATGGAACTACTCGAGTTCATCGATTAAGCTCGATTAATATGTAAAAATAAGTTCGATTTTTATACTCGATAAGAGTTTGATTATTTGTGTTCAAACTCGAAATCAAATTCGAGATATTTTATTAATTAAAGTAATAAAAATATATTTAAATATAGAGACTCGATTAGGCTCACGAACTATTTAAGTCGGATATAAGAATACTTAAATTCGGTTTGATGGATGAATTGAGTTATTCGAGTTTAAATTTAACTTGATAATAATCAAACAAAATTTAAATTTTATTCGAATCAAATCCTAAATAACTTACAAGTACTAATATATCATTTATACATTTAATCTAAATTGACTGTCGAGCAAATGACATATCTATCACAGTATTAAAAGGGCAATACTAGTCCTACCAGTAAATAAAGAAGGGCAGTTCCGTAACTTCAGCATTGTAAAAATGTGCATTGCCATTTAGCCTCGTGTGGGGTAGGGAAAAATAGAGAAGAAAGAAATATGGAAACAGTGGCCCTTACCACTTCTTCCTTTGGTACCTCAGCAGTGGCAGCAACCGAGAAGCGAGGCAGCATCACCTGCTTATCCTACGCCCCTCCCTGCAACCTTAACGTGCGCCACCTAGCATCATTCCACAAACAATCCCATCTTTTCACAAAATCCCCAACATGTCTTTTCCGTTACACCAAATCCCATGCCAGTCGATCTTCCCATGGCATCTTCCTTCCCCACTTGGTCGCTTCGTTGGTCTGTTTCTCTCCCTTTTTGCCCCTTTTTCCTTTCACAATTGAAATACCCATTTTAGAATTTGAAGTTTATGTCGTTTTTTTTTTCTTTATTTTTTGTTTAGGAACAAGTTCAACAAACTTACATTATGGTCAAACCTGACGGTGTACAACGTGGTCTGGTAAGCTTTGCTCAATTTCTTGTTAAAATCTTTTGCTCCATAATCCATTTTTTGGTTGCTGAAATGCTGAAATGAAAGAATTATATGAGGTTTAAATTGTTTGCTATCTATTGTTTGATTTGCAGGCATTTTCAGTAGCCAAAAAGGGTATTGTTTGTAATAGAGTTTTTGGAATTTTTATTCTGAAATTTTTTTTTCTAATTTTTGTAAATGCATGTTTTCTCTAGGTTGGAGAAATTATTTCAAGGTTTGAGAGGAAAGGGTTTAAACTGATTGGCTTGAAGCTCTTTCAATGCCCCAAAGAATTGGCTGAGGTTGTAAATTTGTTGTTGGGATGATATTTCTGTTTGCTGTGTTATTGTACATTAAGAAACCGAATTTGTTTCATGATATTTTTGGAGTTTTATGTTTGTTAATGCTTTCTGGATTGATGTAAAGACACGAAATTGTCATTTTTATTACTTTTTCTGTCATGCACACTGGATGATTAACCATTGTTTTGCTCTATTTCTATATGAAGTCAGAAACTAATGAAAATTAATAATGATTTCTTACTGTTAAGTTGATATCATCACAGTGGAAGCTCTAACAGAGGTTTTCTAGTAATATGTTTTGGGAGCTTTAAAATGATATGAATAATTGGTATTGTGATGGATGCAGGAGCATTATAAGGATCTCAAGGCCAAGCCATTCTACCCTAAACTGATTGACTACATTACTTCAGGACCAGTTGTGTGTATGGTATGATTTACCTAACTTGTCACATATCATAAATTTAATATACATTATTGATTGAGATAACTGATACTAATGATTTCATGTTTTGAAGGCCTGGGAGGGTGTTGGTGTTGTTTTATCAGCACGTAAGCTGATAGGGTCTACAGATCCTCTTCAGGCTGAACCTGGCACTATAAGAGGAGATCTTGCTGTTCAAACAGGGAGGTTGGCCTATATTTACCCTATTCTAGTGCTTCTAATTTCTTGATTGTGATTTGTCTAGCCGGTAGATATTCTGATAATGAATATCTTGGCAGGAACGTGGTCCATGGTAGTGACAGCCCTGAGAATGGCAAGCGCGAAACAGGTGAAGTTTTTAAGTTGCGTTACTAGTAATCAAGTATATTGTCTCCAAAATAGTTTCCTATCCAATGCATGTATATGTTTCTCAGTTTGGATTGAAATGGATGTAGATAGTTACAGCTTCTGCGCTTGGCCTGCTTTGAATTTCTGCCATACTCCAGTGCATTGAGCACTAACTAAAATACGATCAATAATCAAATTTAAAGTTTATGCATTTAATTACTGATTAATTCTAAGATTCAATGGAAGAACTTTCAGTTTAGTTAGACTAGGAATAAAAGTAAACAACTGGGATCCTTTTTGATTGTTCTTCCTTGCCTGTTTTAAAGATTACGGAAACGCAAAGTAGTGTCTTAATGACCCTTGCTCCCTGTGCTCTCCTGACTCTCTTAATTTATTTTGTTGTCCAGCCCTTTGGTTTAAAGAAGGTGAATTATGCCAGTGGACACCTGCTCAAGCACCATGGTTACAGGAGTGATCTTTCGGCATATGCTTAATCCATTGTTGAGGCGGGCACTTTTTAAGTTCTCTTCTGGGCACCTGTACTTTTAATGTCAAATTCATATCTGATTTGAACATTTCATTGAATATTAATTTAATTGCCATGTTAGACCTGCAGTTTTGTAAGAGTAATGGAAGTAATTTATGCCTTTTCCTTTCTGTTCCCTGTTTCTGACTTAATTTCTCAAAGAATGGCTGAACTATAACTGGTCTACAACCGGCTTATTTCAGACCCAGTAAACTTTAAATTTTAAGGAGACATTGATCTGTTCTTGCGTTTTCTAGTTAGTAAGAATTACTGATCCTAGTGATTAGAAACAGAATAAGCAGTAACCTTTATTCTTTGAAGTTTATGAACATGTATTATATGGTTACCAGCACAAGCTAGGGCTTATCAAGCCCCTAAGTTTGTCCACCTAATGCTTTAACGTATCCTGGAAATATTTGCATTAACAAATTTGTTTACATCTCTCTTTAAACAAGAGTAAGGCACAACGATGAGTTAGACATTAAGAATGAACTATTTATTGTAGCTCGAGGCTATTCAAATTGGTTTAATTTTGGTAAGACAGTAACTAAAACATAAAAGCAAAATAAAAAGTAACTAAAACATAGCAGTATAGAGGAATTGGGAGCTTAGTTCATTGCTTTATACAACTACTCTTAAAAATTAGTATTTAATAAGTTTAAAATTCAAATGCAAACATGTGTAACCCTTTCCGTTATCCTTAAGTTATGAACTCCTTTGTACTAAAAACAAGAAAACGCAACAGAGAATCCAGCACACACAGGCTTCAGCACCCTTGCCAAAGATGGAGGGACCTTGTCCTGAGCAAACCCAGAAGCTCTGCTTGAAATTCACCTGATATGCAGGAATCTATCTAGGCTGCTTTATATCCTTTAAAATGAATGTTTGGCTTTTTTAGAGTACAGTGTTTGAGAAACTAGAATGGCAAAGCTCCTCTCATTTTCACTCCAAGATCCTAGAGGGAGAGATCAGAATAAACCGTTGCAACACATACAGTATAAATTGAAGCACTCAATCAGGTAATACTACTATTGTTTGTATCCTTCCATCAACACAACCTAGGCAAAGAACTGCTATTGCTAAATTCCAGGTTCCCTCGCTTTTTTATACCGGTCAAGGATTGACGCTCACTAGAACTCGAAAAACTAGCAGAACCATCATTCTCTGTCATCATTGCTTCATGACCAACTGTTGGAGTGCGGTAATAATCCTTAAATTTGGAAAACAGGTAAAGAATCGACACACCCTCGCTCCGTTGCTGTGAATTCAAGTTACCTGTCGATTGGCAATCACTTGAACTGTTTGAAACACTTGCAAAAGAACAATCCGTATAGATCACCATTGCCTCATCGGATGATATGTCTTGAAAACTCCCGGAGACAGTTCCAGAACTACAAGTTGCTTCAACGTTCATTGCCCCTGAGCTCAAAACACTTTTAGTTTCCGGAACAGTTTCAGAAGCACAGTCAGCTTCTACTGCAACCACTGGCGGTGAAATCAGGTGACGTTGGGAACCCAGTTTAAGCTTCATCAGTGTAGCCTCTGTAAACCAAGGCACAAATTAATCTCCGGTTAAAGTAGAATTGAACTTAGTACTAATCTTTAATATTAATGGATTCTGAAAAGAAAAAATAAAAGGATTGGAATTTGAGAAATACCATAGATGGAGAGAGAATCGTCCTTGATGATCTTGGAAGGGGGAGTCTCCAAGCTGTCAAGTGGCGAAGGCGACGGCGATGGTCTGACTCTTCCGAACATCTCTCTTACAGTCTCCAGTTCAAAAGATAAGATCTGGGTATTTGAAATGGGTGGAAAAAGAGTCAAAGAAAAACAACAGGTTGGGATTTGGATTTTGTTTGGCGCCACAAATTAAAGAAGCGGGAAACTCTCTGATCTGCCATCTGGGCTTCTAGCTTTTTTCATGACCGACCAGTCTGGCCTAAAAATCTAGCCCATTTCCATTTTCTTTTCGTTTTTTTTTTTTCTCTTGATAAGACCATTTACAATTATATGTCCTGCAAATATTTAGAACAAAAATGATGGAAGGAATAGTATTTTTCTTCAATAAAAGCTTGAAAAGTATTAATGTTTGAAATAATCTAAAACAAAATAAATATTTTGAATATTGTTGCTGGCAGATAAAATATAAGTAACTTGGTTTTTGACCACTTTAGCTCCAATCAAAGGGGATTAAAGAAAGGTGTAGTGCATTATGATTTTATCAAAAGGATGGTCAATGGTCATGATATTGACCTGATTCTTGAATGAAAGACATCCCTCTTAGCCATCCCATGAGCAATATGAAGTAAACCCATCAAAGTGCACCTCTTAAAGTCTTTAAGACCAGTGGGAGATGAACAATTTTCATGCCTTTTTAGTTTGTATCATTCACTAATTTCAATGAATTAATTCTAAATGCAAACAAGGCTACATTGCTGCTGCTGTATCCACTTCCCTACTTGTTAAAGGAAAGGAAATGGGTTGTGACTTGTTACAGAACTGTTATGTGTTAAAAGCGATTTGCTTGCTGCATAAAATTAACAGAAATGGAGCTTGTAAAAATCAGAAATGAAGACGCCAAATGGATGAATCTTCTATGAATGAATTGAATTTCTACATCGAAAAGGAATGAGAGAAAACTGTTGATCAGTCCAGAAACAAGCTTGTAATATATAGGGCAAACTGTCATGGAATGATTTAAGCCTACCTCTTCTTCAAGCCAATCAATCTCTCCAGAAAAATCTTCTGAAGGAACCCTGTTTACGTACTCTAGTCTTTTGATTGGCACATGAAATAGGACCAAGGAGAAGTTCTCTTCTTGAATGACTACTGTAAGCACTTGAATGCAAAATGCAGCCAATTAGGACTTAAGTTCTTCTCTTGTCCTGTCAACCAACTGAATTTGTATTTAAAGATTATTGAGAAGACAAATTGAAACTCACAAATTTATCTATAGCTTTCTGTTGCTTTTACAGGATCATTACCAGTCATGGTAAGAATCAAATTAGCACATACACGTGACTTGAACTGGTTTGAACAACTTGTGGGTGGCTTTGTGCTTTTCCTGAATGTGACGCTGGCCTACTTCCTCCGCCTAGTTGGGTTCTGCGCTTTATTTAGGAATTTTTTTTTTCAATAAAAAGAAAGGTGACAATCTATGACCAATTCATTATTTTTTTAAGTTTTTGTTTTGCAAAATTGAAATAAGCTTTCTTCCTTTCACCTTTCTCTTTTCCTTCAATCTCTTCAGCTTCAGGTCACTTGTCCAATTATAGTCTTAAATTTTGATGCTACCCAACGAATTGTTTTTAATTTTATTAAATTTGGAAGTTGGAATTTTCATCATCTCAATTCTAATTAATGCAAATGCATGAACTGTAATGACTTCATTTTTGCGGTTTGAAAAAAAAGTAGGAAAGAAAGGTGGGATAGAACAACAATCATGAAATGAGAAAACATCCAAAAGCATCAATCTGCTTTCCATATTTCTTTGAAACTGGTTACCCATTTCTATATCAGAAGAAATGCCTAACTACTTCATAGATCAATGACGCGAGACAACTTCTGGATCCGGTTTAATAAGAAGTCCCCTTGTTTAATAGTGGCTTGGTAAAGTGCATTCTTTGCATCAGGGCGGTTTGTTTCAAGGACACCAGCAACCTTGTCAATCTTGCAATGAAGCTTCCCTGCTGCAATAAAAGGTGATAGCTCCCTGGAATCATGGAAGATAAAACAATCATGCCGGGGCGGAAAATAATACTACCATGTTAAAATCCAATGAGATCATTTAAAGGAATATATATATGTATGTAAAGGGAGATCACTGGATTTAATTACTTACAGATCAATGAACTCCACTGTGACCCCAAAAGCCTTTGCCATGGCTTCAATTGTAACACTTTTGTAGGATTCCAGAAATTGAGAGTAAACAACAGTTCTGACCTCCCTCATGTAAAACCGGAAATGAGGATGCAAATAGCGGTCCAATTTTATCTGCTCTGTCAGGCCAGCTGATATAGTATTCAAGCAAATTGAATGAATCAATCAGTGAATGAAATTTTAGCTTTTATTAAATATGAGATACCTCATAAATGTTAGGAAAGCAGTGGAACTAGATAAGAAGGGATAGATCGTGGGACAAACTAATGATTCTACATCAAGTAATAAAAATTATTAGACCTATACATACCGAATGCTAAGAAGAATGATTTGTATCGACAATCATACAGAGCATTTAAAAATTCCGAAAGATATGGAATTTTTCCGATCACAGTCAGGACCTCAGGAGCATCAACCACCTACAAGATTTAGACATTCAGTAACTTTGACTGGCCCAAATAATAATTATCACAAATCATATGACAACAATGTTGAGTTAAATGACAAAATACCTTTTGTTTCAGGGAAACTCTATCCAATGATATGATGCTCGTAAGCACAGTGTAAAATATGAATGTGTCATAAGGGAAAAGTTCATAAGTTGTGAAGGTTGAAATGGAATCCAAAAACAGATTGGCAGCCTTCTTAAAATTTCGAGTGGACATGCAATACAAGCCTTCATACACCTTCAAACGGTTCTTCCTCTCCCAGTCACCTCCTTCTTCAAATAAGCTGGCATCAAAATACGAGCAGCAATTAGCGAAAGGCATACATCTCAAGTTACGCAAAAGTCAGAACTAATAGATATTGTTAATACATATGATTATATACTTTTTCGCTCTATCAATGCTGTTGGAAATAAGATCAAAATCCATGTAGAAAAAGCCAATCTGTAACGTATAGAACACCAAGTCCATCTTTTGCCCAACAGCAACTGTCTTGCTTTCTGTCACCTTCAGTTGCTCCAATGCTTTCTCCTAGATTGAGAAGTGCATAAGTCAAGATGAGAAATATAGCATTCAAACATAAATTGATGAGCAGACATCAGCTTCAAGGATAATAAACTACAATTCTGAATACCTTTTCACCTATCTGAATGTAATATAAGGATTTAGCTAAATGTGCTTCTCGAACTTCACTTTCACCTAAGTTTTCTTCAGCATCAGCAATCCTACAATGCCAAAAGGCAGACTTGTGTTAAACATAATTCAACAAGAAATCAATAATTTGTCAAATATGTCAATATTTGTTTCTTTCCACTTTTAAATAGGCAGATTGGGGTCGAAAACTATAGAGAAGTAGTTGACATGCAAGAGTTTCAGAAAAAAATTAAGCCCATTTTATCACTCATACATTAAAACACTCATCATTAATTCTATAATTGACAGCATCATTAGTTCCAAATCCTAATAATATTACATGCAAACTCTCAGGCAATTGAAAAGGAGTTATGATCTTAAACTGTTGTGCATTCTTATATACATGGAAAAAGTGCTAAAGATTCAAATCCCTCTAACTACTTTGTGAATGATGCGGAGAGAAAGAAATACTCTCAAGCTATTGAAAAGGAGTTATGATCTTGGAAGGGTGTACATTCATTTATAGATGGAACAGAATGCTATATATTTTTTGGATGTTGTTGAGGAAAAGAAATAGAAGAGTTTTTAATGGGATGAATTATCCACCTCAAAGCACTGGCATACTTGCATTTTCACTGTTTATTTTCGGTTTCATGGCCAGGAAGTCTTAGAAGTCTAGGATACTATAGATTTTGCCGATCTCTTGTTTCATAAATATCAGCATTGTACTTTGGTTGGCACTCCCTTTGTGCTTTTAGTGTGTGCATGTCATCTACCAAAAGAGGAGGAAACGGAAATTATTACTTCATCCCAGTTCATAGTTTTTTCTTTGTTTCAAGACCTAGAGAGTTGAGATCATTCAGCTACAACGAAGAGTTATAGCTACTTTATTCTTTGGGTTAAAAGAAGAACACTCAAGTCATATCTATCTAACTCAGCAGTGTTTGATTAACACATAAACCACCCCAGCATTTCATGGGCATAAATCTTGCAAACGTTATCACTCCAAACAAGAAACCATAACACTAAAGCACCTCTCGTAATAACAGCTCTGTTGCAAGAGAAGCATAAAGATATCAAAGGTGAAAAGAAACGAACTTAAAATTCAATCCCTCACAACACTCAATTAAAGTTCCAATTCTTGAAACCCCTAATTGGTTCAGGATCTGTCTCTTTCTCCTAAATTCTATTCCACTACAAGTTCCCAATCTCTATGCATGCACCTTAACACTTGTTCACCTCTCCCATAAGCCTCCACACAACCGCCATGGAAAGGGTTCAGTCTATATCCTTTAGGCTAAAACTTCCACGTTATATTCTCTTCAATTTGAGAATTAAATAAACCGTAACAAAAAATTTAAAGAAAAAACATAAAATCTCATACTTCCCACCAACATTTGAGACTAGAAAACCTAAAATATATGATAAAGTTCCAATCACTCTAATTAATCAGCAACCAAACAGGAAAAGGAAATTAAAGGAAAAAAACTCACTTCTCATCGAGTTTCTTAATCTCCTCCTCATTCTTGGCACGCATCGAGTCCAAAACGCTCTGATCCAGCTCCACTACTTTATTAGCAACTAGGGTTTCACAATATGGAGTCATATCTAAAACCGCCACAACAACGAAAAAAACACAACGAATGTCGTGTTAGAGTTGAGTCGAAATAATTAACCCGGCAAAGAGAAGAGTTGAATCGGGCGAGTTACAATTGGATTTGACCGGGTTGAGGACCTCATCCTTGAGGCGGACCTTCTCGATGTCAGGGACATCTGGGTGCTTGAGGAGGAAGACGTGGTGAGCAAGGATGAGTTGCTGTGACTGCTGCGCTCCTTCTTGTGCGTCCATGGATGAGTCAATGGAGTAAGCACTAAGTTGGCATGAACCGAGCTCGGATTCTCATTTGAGATTGCTTGGGAAAGGAGAAATCAGAAACCTCGTTGGGAATTTGCTCCTTATATTCGGGAAGGAAACACCACGCGCCTCTTTTTATTATTGTTTTTTTTAAAACAATCATAACTTTTTTTTGTTTTTGGTTTTTTTTTTCATAATTATAGTAGGTTTTGTTTTGTTTTGTAATTTAATTTTTTACGTAATTTATATTTTAAAAATTAATTAATTTATCAATAAATACAATTAATTATTTTGCATTATGAAGTAAATAAATTATTTTTAAATAATATTAAAATTATTCATTTGTATAACTATTATAGTTAATATGGTTATTTTGATATTTTAATAGATAATATTTGATATTTCAATAATAATAAACATAGTGATTTTTTAATTCATACAAATATAATAATTTTAAAAATTTAAAAGTTAATGATTGTTAATTAATCAAGGTGATTAACAAAATTGATACTAAACATTTCCTTAAAAAATAGTGTTAATAAAAAGATCCGAATTTATGATTGTAATCTCTTTAATTACAAATAAAAATTCAAACCATTAAATTAAAGACATTATTGTGAACTTTTAAGTGTTAATACATGTAAACACATTTTTTTTAAGCAATAAAAGATTTTTAAGTTTCCTACAAGAAAATTTTGTAATTGATCCCAATTTATTTATATTAAATTTAATGAATTCATAAATAATTATTTTTTTACAATCTTACAATAAATTTGAACTTGAGAAAAATTTTAAAAAAATAAATTTTTTATAACTTAAGCCATAGACACGTGTTTTAAGAACAAAATTGTAGTGGAGTCGTAGAATTTTGTTCTGAGAAACAAAAATATATTTTAAAATATAATATAATCAGATGGAATCGATTACACCAATAGGGCTTTAAATAATGGTTCCAAATATTACTGGATAGCCCATTTGGATTTTTATTGTAACCCAAGCCAACCCACCGAAAAAATACAGATGATATTTAAAAATATATTCTAATTTGGCCCAAAATAGATAGAAAATCTGGACCGTCCTTTTACGAGAAACAGTTGTCTGAGGTTTGACTGACACAGCGTCAATAGTCCTGATAAGCTGCTAAAAAACAAAAACAGTAACAAACTTTAAAGTTGGCATGGGAATATACGTCGATGATAATTTATTGTTCTTTTTAGATGCTACATCTCACATATAGTTATTAGATAAATTTTATTAGATTATTCAACAATATGAAATAATATTTCAAGAGAAAAAAATAATTATTGATACTTTAGAAATTGATTTTTAAGCATGCATCTAAAAGATGGATAGTATATATGTTAATATTTTACTGTTCTTTTTAAATATCACATTTCATACACAGTTATTAGATAAATTTTAGCAAATTGTTCAATAATATGAGATAATGTTCTGAGAGAAAAAGATGATCATTGGTGCTTTAAAAATTAATTTTTTAAGCGTGCATTTGAAAGATAGACAATACATAATTCAATCTCATATTGTTAAAACACTTGTAGATTTCTCAGATGAAAATCATTCCAAGAAGCAAGTACAATAATTCCTTGGTATAGTCAATTACATGAGTGAATTCCTCTCAGATCTTACACAATTAACTTATCCTTTTAGACAAATGTTAAAGAAAAAATCACTTACGTGGTCTCAAAAATAAACAAAAGTAGTACAAACATTTAATATAAAGGTACAGTCACTTCCTATTTTAAAGATTCCTTCAGATGAAAAAAAGATATTATAGATAGATGTAAATGAACAATTTTGGTCAGTAATTCTTTAAAAAAAAAAAGATAAAACCAGACAGATATTTGATTACAAGAATGGTAAATTTAAATATTCGAAACTTCAATTTTTGTTTGAATTCCTGGAAGATATCTGGTTGGATGGTTAGGGTGAAGAGATTATGAAGGTTTTTCTAAGGTCTGAAATAACTTTCAAACTTTATACCTTTTCACTAAGTCTTAAATCTGGCATACTAGTTATGACATCAAAACCAATAACAAGATCTTTTTAGGAAAGTAAAGATCCTGAAATTTTTTTAGTTATTTGATAACTTGAAAAAATCTGAAGGGTAATAGGGTTGCTAATAAAGTCTGTACATAATACATTCTCATCAGCGGTCTTGAAAAATGTTTTCTATTTTTTTTAAAAGTTTTTGTGTAAGACAATAGGATTTGTTATGGTTTGGACTGCACCAGTATAAAAAAAAAGCTGTGATTGTTATGGGAAGGAAATGTTTATGAGTGAAAATCTGAAATAGAGCTAGCGGTAGTTTTAGAGGTTGAAGGATTTGAATTTTTTGGAGTTCTTGGACTGTCATGTACTCGTAGCATTGATCATCTATAAATTTATCTGAGTAATCTGAGGCAGATTCAGACTCATCGTTCTCAAACTGCTTGATCATAAATAATGATATTTTATTATCTTCATCATTAAGAGAGAAGATTGATTCAAGGTCATCATTAGAGAGATTAATACCAAAGATATTAGTAATGTCTTAAATCATCTTGACTGATCTTTTGTTTAACTTTACGTAGTTTTTTGCAAAATGTTTTAGTTTTTCACAAAGAAAACATTTTAAACTTTTGATCTTTAGGTTTCTCTTATTTCTTACAAACTTGAATCTTTGGAACTTTGTGAGCATTTCTGCTTTTTTGAACAATTTTCTAGATCTGGAAAAATGTGAGTTTTTGGAAAGTCTGAATTTTCTAAAATGCTTCGTTTTCTTGTGATTGCAAATACACGTTAAGTCCTTAGAATAACATTTGATTTGGAGTCCAGAAAAAACGTAGGAGCATAGTTTCTCTAACTTTTTAGAATTGTTCACCAAGTTTTTAATGTATCTATGCTCTTTGTAAATCTTATCAAGGGCTTTCAACATCATCTTGTAAATATCTCCAAGGTTCATGGTTCTAACATCAAGAGATCTGAGATTTAGTCATGTCTTTATTTGTTGTGCAAGTTCTTCTAGAACAAGATGAAAAAAACTTGCTTCAGGTTGACATCATCAAATCCACCAAATATATAAAAATACTGATGGAATTGCTAATAGTGTCTGTCAAGGTTTTTTAGATTGAGGGAACAACATTTTAACTTGAAGAATTGTTCTCTGATCTTTTTCAATTTATGAGTTTCTTGGCCATAAAAAATTACTGCAAATTGAGATACAGCTTCTGTAATGGTTGGGCCTTAAAGAAATTAGAGTTATCTATATTCAATAATATTGTCCCAAAAGTTTTTCAAAATTTCAACTAGTTTGAAAATAAATCTGATCAAGATTGTGTTCATCGTAACATGAAGATTGGAGTTTAGTTCAACCAATCCTCATACTAAGAATTCTTAGAATCTTGAGAGCTATTTTAAAAGAGGAATATCATCAATGGTAAAAATTGAAAACTTTGATGTTGAAAGAACTTATGTTTGTTGTGAAAGAGGGTGTTGTTCAATGTCCATTACATTAGGATTGTGGACTTCTGAATTATCATCTGAAACTTTAACTGTTGGTTCTGTCATGAAGATCTGAGGTAGTGCTGGCTCATCTGAATCATTAATATCATTTGAGTCAATTAAATCATCCAATTTGTCCGGGGAGACTATTGAATCAGCGACAAAAATATAAGGAAAGATATCTTTAAGAAAAAATTAATGGAGATTGTCTTGTGCTATCTGATGAATTATTTCTGAAAGGAAAGTTTTTAGCAAAACATATTTATTATATGAAGATTCTAAAATTTTTTCCAACTTGGTTAAAACTTTTTCCAAATTTACTTCAAACTTACTTGTTCCTTCGTAGAGAAGGAGCTTCCAATTTATATATGAAAAAAGTAAAAGAATAGTAACCTAATAGGTTGAAATCATAATTAAAGTCATAACTTTACAAAAGACTTGACATAAAGCTACAATTATCTTTAAAAAACAAAGATAACTCATCAATAATATGACATAAAATAGACATGATTTAATTAAAAGTAGACTAGACATAAAATTAGATGAGACTTGACATAAAGTTGTCTTGATGTGAAGGCATCACCATCAACTTTTGGAGTCTTCTGGAGAAACTAAAAATTATCACACCTAATTATAAATAATTAAACTGAAACATGAAATCTTTTGTCTGAAAACACCATGACTGGATTTCTCACTGAATCATCTTTATTTTGAAAAATCTTTAAGGTACTAGAGAACTAGACAATCATCTACCCATTGGAAGAGTTCTTGTTCAAAATCATCAGGGTCTAAATCACAACATTGGAATAAGTGATTGTAGATCCTGTGTTCAAATCTTGCTCTAAGCCTGGAAAAATCTTCTTCATTTTGCCAGTAAAAGTTTGTTGGAAGTTAGGTTAGCTCAGAAGGGATGTGGAGATCAAAATAAACAAGTTTCTGAGATAAGTCACTCTACCATGTGTTGTAGGGTGATTTAGGGGTTCAATGCGTCAGGTGATTGTGTAATTTTTGAATATATTCTAGAAGGTACTACCACTATAGTTTCTTTTTGAAAGGAAAAGTTCTGCAGAGATTGAGATGTTGATTTTATAATCTCTTTAACAAGAGCTTGTACTCATGAGCATATAAGAAGATAAATTTGTACAGGGAGTATAGATTGCACACATACATGTCAAAGTGGGGTTGAAAGAGGACAAAATTATCATAGAGTTCACAAGGGTGATGGAATAAAAAGATAACATGATAACTTTATGAAAAGTGTTAGGTGACAGAATACCATGTATGTAGGAGTATAAACCACTTCAAAAAAATTTTTAGATAAATATCTATTTCATAAAAGAAATCATTATTGACAAAGGTAACTGTGACAAAATTAAGTTCAAAGAAGTTAAACTCAATGATAATGGTGTAGAGTTGGCATAAATATCATAAGAGAACCAAAACTTCTTTGAATAAACCTGTTGTATGAAAGATTTGAAACATGTGCAAAAAAAGAAATTGAAGGTGAAAACCAATGAGTCTAATGCCATGATTAGCTCTTTTTCTGATAAGTATAACCTGTATCTTGTAAATAAAATTATGAACACATTTTTCAATTATCTTTCTTGCAATGATCTGCTGAATTTCTAAATAAAGGTTGTAAATTGAAAAAATTGGTTGAAAAGTTGGATCTAGAACAAAGGGTTTATATTTTGAATTATATAGGTAAGGATAGAGAAAAGGATTAGTTACTATTTGAAAAACATGATCAAAAAAATGTGAAGGTAAAGGTAAGAAAGTCATTATAGAAATAACTAAAATAATTTGCAAGGAGTTCGAAGGAGGTTTTGAAGTAGGTTTGGTAAGCATCTGGGAGGATGTTATCTTTACTTTTTATATGTGCTGTGGTGAATGAATATTGTGAGAACCATTGAGAAAGTTTGAGCAACTGTACATTTGACATTTGTTTTTTCTTAAAATTAAGCATTTGATTAAAGGCTGACATATCTAATTCCACAGATATCCAATGAGGTGAAATTCAAATCTTTGGATTTCATAGTTTACAGCTAAAATTTCTTTTAGTGTAGAGTGATAATAAAGTTTCAAATATTTGAATCTACCACTCTTGTAACCACATATCTAACTGGTTCCATCTTTTTCTTCTAAAAGAATTGCTAACCAAAATTGTTTACTTTCATTTGTTTGCAATATCTTTTTTCTATCTGAAGGAATCTTTAAAGTTGAAAGGGACTGTGCTTTTATATTCAATATCTGTACTACTTTTGTCTGCTTTTGAGATCACATGGGTGGCTTTTTCTTTAATATATGTTTGAGATGAGTTAACTGTATAAAATCTGAGAGAAATTCAATCATGTAATTGACTACATCAAGAAATTATTGTACTTGTTTTTTGGAAAAAAAGGAACAAGTAAGCTTGAAGTAAGTTTAAAAAAAGTTTAGAATCCTTTTATAATAAATATGTTTGGCTAAAAACTCCCTTCTTTTTTGGTAATTTCTTCATCCTTTTTCCATAGTTAAAGTTTTAGTTTCATGTTTTTTCAATATATTTCATAGTTTACAGTAATACAAGTTGAGTATGCTCTATAGTTATCATAATATTATGAATCTTTTGTATAAAAAATTCTTGTAAAACTATTAAACAGATCATTGATCCACTCTCTCAGCAAAGAAAAGTTACTATACCAAGATCATATTAAAATAAGTTATTATAGTGAAAGGCATCTCTCTATAAAAGTCAGGCCATTAATTCGATATTAAACCAGGAGGGCGCTAGAGTCTTAAACATCGACTAAAAGACCTTGATTATATATCTGATCTATGGACCACTTATGTTTGGTATTATCTTGATAAAACAACCGATCCGTATACTGTTGAAATAACATCAAATAGTATTGTCATGACTCTACCATCCGAAAAGTCCATAACTAAAGTCGTAAATTACCAAAGCCTTGGCACTACTATCTGTCACTATGTTAGAATGGTATCAAAGCTTGGAGAAAGAAATATTCTTGGATTGCTAATTTGAAATGATCTAAGTTCATGTTTGAATTACTTGCTTTTGTGGGATTGACATTTTCATCTTTTTTAAAAAAAAAAGGTAATGAAAAATTTAAAGTTTTTCCAAAGAGTTTGATTGCATTTTTGAAGAAATTATAAATGATTTTCTGCATAAGAAAAGTGAATAAATTTTTCATTTTGCTCATCATTAAAGAAGAAGATTGATTCAAGATCATCATAAAAAAAATTAATACCAAAGATATTAGCAATGTCTTGGATTATCTTGATTGATCTTTTGTCTGACTTTGTACAATTCTTTGCAAAATGTCTTGATTTTGCACAGAAAAAACATTTTAAACTTTTGAACTTTGGGTCTCTCTTCTTTCTTGCAAAGTTAAATCTTTGGAATCTTTTAGGCATTTTTTCTTTTTTGAACAATTTTTTAGATTTGGAGAAATATGAGTTTATGAGAAGTTTGAATTTTCTAAAATGCTTCTTTTTCTTATGATTACAAAGAAATGTGGAGTCCTTAAAAGAACATTTGATTTAGAATCCAAAAAAAGAGTATGAGCATGGTTTCTTTAACTTTTTGAAGTTGTTCACCAAGTCCTTGTCAAAGGCTTTCAACATCATTTTGTAAATATCTCCAAGATTCATGGTTCTAAATTTGTTCACTTTTCCTGTGCAGAAAACAATTCAAAATTCCTCTAGAAATGCAACCACTATTTTTGGAAAAACCTTGAATTTTTCATTACCCTTCCCTTCAAAAAGATGAAAATGCCAATCCCACAAAAGTAAATCATTCAAACATAAACCTAGATCATTTCAAACTGACAATCCAAGAATGTTCCCTTTTCTAAGCTCAAAGATTAATTGAACCAACATCTTTTTCACGGGCATGTGAAGCATTTTATGTCAACAAACATTCAAAATAAGTTCGTGAAAAATTAAGATTGGTAATTAATTACAAGCCTCTTAACATTTTGCTTACAAATGATAAATTTCCCTTTCAAACAAAAAAAATATTATTTGCAAATTTGACAAATGTAAAAATCTTCTTTAAGTTTGACCTGAAAGCAAGATTTTGATAATTAGATATACATCAATAAGACAGATACAAAATGATGTTTTGCATTCCTTAACACCATTTTCAGTGCACAGTTATGCCTTTTGGATTAAAAATTGTTCTTTCATAGTTCCAGAAAGTAATGACGAAGATATTTACTCCCATTCTTAATAATGTATTGATTTACATTGATGATATCTTACTATTCTCTTCAGTGTCACATCTCATACATAATTATTGGATAAGTTCCAACAGATTATTCAACAAAATGAGATAATACTCTCAGAGAAAAAGATGATAATTGGCACCTCAAAAACTGATTTCTTACGCATGCATTTAAAAAATAAACAGTACATAGCTCAATCTCACATTGCTCAAACACTTGCAAAATCTTTTCAAAAAATAAGTATAACAATTCCTTGGTGTAGTTAATTACATGAATGAATTCCTCTTAAATCTTGCACAATTAACACATCTTCTCAAACAAATGTTAAAAAAATAAACCACCCACTTGGTCCCAAAAGCAAACAAAAGTAGTACAGACATTGAAGATAAGAGTACAATCACTTCTAACTTTAAAGATTTCTTCAGATAAAAAAAGAATACTGCAAACAGATGCAAGTGAATAATTTTGGTCAACAATCCTTTTAGAAGAAAAAAATGAAACCAAATAGATATGTGGTTATAAAAGTGATAGATTCAAATATTCGAAACTTTATTATCACTCTACACTAAAAGAAATTTTAGCTGTAAAGTATAAAATTCAAATATTTGAATTTCACCTCATTAGTTATCACTTTCTTGTGAAATTAGATATGTCAACCTTCAATTAGATGTTTAATTTCAACAAGAAGCAAATGCCAAATGCACAGTTACTCAGACTTTCTCAGTGATTTTCATAATACTCATTTACCACATCACATATAAAAGGCAAAGATAACATCTTTCTAGACATGCTTACCAGACCTCCTCTAAATCCTCTTTCGAACTCCCTGTAAATTATTCTAGTCATTTTCATGATAACTTCCTTACCTTTACCTTCATCCTCTTTTAATCCTGTTCCTTAAATAGTAACTAATTTTTTTTCTCTATCCTTACCTTTATAACCCAAAATACAAATCCTTTGTTCCAAATCTAGCTTTCTAATCAATTTTTTCAGTTTACAACCTTCCTTCTAAAATTAAGTAGATTATTACAAGAAAGACAATTAAAAGACGTGCATATAATCTTATTTACAAGATGCAGGCTATACTTATCAAAAGAATAGCTGATCATGGCCTCAGACCCATTGGTTTTCACCTTCAATTTTTTTTCTACACCTATTCCAAATCCCTCATACAGCAGGCTTATTCAAAGAAGCTTTGGTTCTCTTATGGTATTTATGCCAACTCTATACCATTGCCATTGAGTTTAACTCCTTTGAACTCAATTTTGCCATAGTCACCTTTTGCTAATAATGATTTCCTTTATGAAATACATATTTATCTAGAAAATTTCTTGAAGTGGTTTAAACCCCTTCACACATGGTATTCTCCCACCAAATACCTTTTACAAAATTATCATGTTATCTTCTTGTTCCACTGCCTTTGTGAACTCCATGATGATTTTACCATCTTTCAACCTCACTTTGACATGTATGTGTGCAAACTATATTTCCTGTACAAATCTATATTCATATATGTTCATAAGTACAAGCTTTTGTTAAAGAGACTGTAAAATCAACATCCCAATTCCTACAGAACTTCCCAGAACCATGATGGTGGTACCCTCCAGAATATATCCAAAAATTACACAATTACCTAACACATTGGACCCCTGAACCACCCTACAACAATGGTGGAATGACTTATCTAAAAAACTTGTTAACTTTGATCTTCACATCCCTTTTGAGCTAGCCCAACTTCTAACAAATCCTTACAGGCAAAATGAAGAAGCTTTCTCCAAACTTAGAGCAAAATTAGAACACAGGATCTACAATCACCTATTTCAATGTTGTGATTCAGACCCTGATGATTTGAACAAAAACTATTCCAATAAGTAGATGATTATCTAGAGCTTGAGTACCTCGAAGATTTCTCAAAATAAAGATAATACAGTAAAAAATCCAATTATGATGCTCCCAGACAAAAGATTTTCTATTTCAGTCCATTTATGTATAATTACGTGTGATAATTTTCAGTTTCTCTAGAAGACTCCAAGCCCTCACATCAAGATAACTTTTATGTCAAATCTCATCCAATTTTATGTCTAATCTACTTTTAGTCAAGTCATGTCTACTTTATGTCATGTTATTAACGAGTCATCTTTACTTTTTTAAAGTAACTTTAGCTTTATGTCAAGTCTTTTGTAAGAGTATGACTTTAATCATGACTTTGTCATATTAAGTTACTATTCTTTTACTTTTTTCATGTATAAATTATAAGCTCATTCTCTAAGAAGGAATAAGTTCTAACCAAGTTTAAAAAAAGTTTAGAATCCTCCTATATGATAAATATATTTGGCTAAAAACTCTCCTTTATTTTAGTAATTCATTCCTCTTTCTTCCATTAAAGTTTTAGTTTCATGTTTCTTCAATCTATTTCATAGTTTGCAGTTATACAAGTTAAATATGTTCTGCAGTTGCCATAGTATTATGGATTTTTTGCATCAAAAATTCTTGTAAAACTGTTAAACAGATCATTGATCCATTCCTTTAGCCAAAGAAAAGTTACTGCACTAAAACCATACTGAAATAAATTAATGTAGTGAAAGACATATCTCCATAAAAGTCAAATCACTAGTTTGAAATTAAGCCAAGAAGACGCCAGAGTTTTAAACACCAGCCAGAATACCTTGGTTATATGTTTGATCTATGGATCGCTTATGTTTGGTATTATTTTGATAGGGCAACCGATCCGTACGTTGTTGAAATAGTATTAGATAGTATTGTCATGACTCTACCACCCTGAGAGCCCAAAAAGAAATATTGTTATGAAGGAGCATTGTAAAAAGCTTTCTTCACTAAACTGCTTTGCGTTCTGTCTTCTTTGTAAGAGATTACAACAAATAAGAAATACGTAAAACTCTGATGCTACTTCTTACGAAGAATTAGGTAAAGCTATGATACCACTTATTACGAGCTAATATTTTTAATGAAAAAAAGTCTATTAAAGAGAGAAAAACTTGTCATAGACTGATATTTTTAATAAATAAGATATGAAGATACGAATTTTAATATTTTATACAATACAAATACACGAATCATTAAGTTTACCCTTGACTTATAAGCCATTCTCGTTTCTTTCTAATGTAAGGTTCGTGACATTGGCACTTCATACAGCGTGGTAAGACAAACAGTTACAATTCTCTATCATAATGAAGGGAAAGTGGAATGTGGAGGTTCTCAAGGTTGGCTAAACCTGTATTATTAGCAGGTGAAGTATTATTAAGGTTCTTATGAATACGATTAAATTCCACACCAAGCTTTGACAGCTCTAAAGCTTTGGCTCAATAGGTTGTGCTTACAATGATAACGCTATCACAAAACCATGCAGTAGAAAGAATTCAATTCAGCATATTTGATTAGTGCATATCAGTAACCTATTTTCAACCCCCATGAAAAGAAAAGTGTTTCCTTTACGACTAAACATCCAAAACCAAGATTTTATTACCTGACGTTAGGTACAAGCTACAGAATTCCAGACCAAATGTGGTTAGTAGGGCAGGTTTCCTTCAGGAAGCTCCCAATTATCATCTTCATCATCAACTTTCTTCTTAGGGGTTTCCTTTTTGGCTTGTGCTGAAACCTTAGGTTGCGGCCGTCTAACAATAAACAAAACAGATCATCTGGTAAGCTATCATTGGATATTTATTATCCAAAATTCTTTAAAACTATAGGGTAATGGTCATCACAAAATAATAACAAACCGCAAAGAGCGTGCATCACATAAAGGAACACAACAGAATACTAAAAGTAGTACAGGTATAACTCACTCAAATGTTGAAACTTTATAAGCATGAAAGCAAACAAACTAACAGAACAGATAATACAAGATACTATGCTCCCTAGTCAAACACCGCAGAAGCCAACAAGAATGGGAGGTGGGCAAGGGAAACTATCTTTGAACATATTCAAAGGGGAAGTGAGCATCAAAACTGAAAGAAGAAAAGATGCAAGAAAATTTAGAATTATATAATGGTTGAGAGCGAGTTAGAGCTCCCATCGACGTTCACAACTTCGAAATACTGTTTAAAGCCTGCAAGTTAAATGTTTCAGATATGACAGTTCCATATTTAGTTAAAACCCACCTCAAGCATGTTACCCAATCTCAAGCCCCAAATTTTCTTCTAACTCCTAAAGGTTGCTAAAACCTCTGAAAACTTTATGTATGTAGACTGTACTCTAGAATTACATCCTATGGCACTGCAGCTTATCAGCAAAAGCATTCATTTATTCAAGTAATTTATTAAGCAGAAGAAATGACATGATTTTCATGTCAAAATAGAGGGCTCAACTATTAGTTTATTAATGAACAATGGTAAGACAAATAAATACACTCACTTTTACTACCAATCTCAATCACCATTATGATTGCCTACTTAACCTTCCAAACAATTGCACAATAGAGACAAATAATCATCCCTTCTCAATCTTCCTTTCTTTGTTCTTTCTCAAATTCCCCCAACTCCATGCTCCAAGGTTTGAATGATAAGTGTGTTTTAACTTTCTCTTCTTGTTAATCTCAACTAACCAATACATCATCTGTCGCACCTGGAAAATCAGACTTTCACCATGTATTCTATGAAGAAACAGGCACCATCAAGGAACCAGAAACAAAAAAGCGATAACTCAGGCAAAAAGCCCCCAAGCTGTCAAAATCAGGAGACCAAACACAGGAAACAAAATCTGTCCAAAGCTTCACAACAGGAATAGTAGCAGAAAGCATATTTGACAGGAGTAAAAGATCATAATCCAATCCAAGATTTTGAAAATTCCCCAAAATCATAACATCAAATTCAAAAGCAGATAAAAAACCACCAAACTGCTTCCTTTTGGTTGCTTTAAAACTATGAAAGAAAACAAGAGAAAACAAATAAATGGACGGAAAGCAAACAAACCTTTTGCGGTTCCTTTTAGAAGCCTCTCTTTTTTTACGCTTCCTTTTGTCCTGTGAATTCTCAAAGAACCTCCTCCTTCTGCATTCCTGGAGAATACCCGCCTTAAACACGGCTCTTCTGAACCGAGCTAACAGCCTCTCCTCGGGCTCATTCTCCTCCACCACGACCTGAACATTATAGCAACCCGATTTGAAGAACAGGGTATTTGCATATGCAAAGGATGGGCATGTTATAGCGGCGATCTCATCAGCTGTTGTCAAAGAGGACGAAAGACAAGTTGATGATGATGTTGGTTTGGGGTCCAGGATGGAAATCAGTGGGGCAAAACCTGATGATTTTCTGGGGAGTTGGAGAGTTGGTGGTGGTGAGCGGAGGGAAGGGGAGTTTGGTGGTGGCTGCTGAGGGAGGAGGGAGGAAAGTGATTTGGAGAGAGAAGAGAGGGAAAAAGCCATGGATGATTGTTGTCGCCTTTGGGGTTGGGCTTTTGTTTCTGGCTTCGAGAATTTTGAGGGCAGGGATGTTGAATGTTGGGTCCCATGTTGGATTCGCTGTAACAGTATTTGTCCTATTCACTGTATGATTAGGGGTCACCCTGTCGAAGGTCCAAAAGGAAAATCAGGAAAGGAAAATTGTGACCGATTCAAGCGGCTCATTGAAAAATACTAGTGATGCAAGGAGACTTGCAGGATTGCTGGAGAGCTAGGTCACCACTTTAGGGTGTTAACAATTAGCTTTAATCAAATTAATTATTCGAATCAATTTAATTTGATTAATTAATTAATTATTAAATTTTTTTATTGATTAATAAAAATAATTTTAAAAAAATTTAATTTTTTGTTAGTCCAATTCAAAAATCAAATTAATCAAAATTTTAACTGTAATATAAAAACATCCAAATATAAAATAAAAATATATGAAATGAATTAAGTTATTAGAGTTTTTAATATAATATTTTGACATTTAAATATTTAGTGAATAATTTTATTTAATTTATTTAAAATATAAAAAATTAAGAATATAAAATACAATTTAAATATATTTATTATTTGATTAAACAAAAAAAATAACTTAACTAACCCAATTAAATTCAACCGATTATCTTTTGAAATTAATAAACTCGATTCTATTAACAAAAATAAAATAATTTAATTATTTTAATTTTAATTTAATCAAACTAACCGAATAAATACTTCTAACTCTGCTCCTCGTCACAAATATTTACTTGTATCGTACAATATCTTAGCAGAGATGATGATGGTTTTTGTATAGAATCAAACCTTCTTGTTCAATAACAGGAAATTAAAATCAACCACAATTGAAATGTTGCAGTTTGAATTCATATTCATCCATATGACTTGAGGATTTAAACTGCCTTCTTACAATGATCTACTGCACTGAAAACATAAATTCTGCTTCCCTTCTCCGAACTCAAATCTGGACTTAAAAAGGAAAAGGAAAAAAAATTTGGCTTAGAACAGAACATACCAAATTCTAGGTTGATCTGCAGTTCCAAAACAGTATTCCCTATTCAGAAGTCCTTATGACCCTTAGAAAACTACCATAGGCCATGCTTTGCAATATACTTTACAACATTCTCAATGCGACACAAATGACTGTGGTTGATTCATTCAATGAATTTTTGCACATCTTTTGCTGGCATCATCAAAAACTGAAGTCGCTATCAAGAAGGCATTGGCGTTCTCACCACGGGTTCTGAAATTTCCAGTGACATGCAAGAATGTGAACATATTCTTTTGGAATTTGACTTGAAGCAATCTTCATCATTTTGTCCTCGTCCTCCCTGCAACCAAAAATGAAGAAGTGAAGAAAAGGGGAAAGAGAAGATAAGGTTTAAAAATAGTTATAAGTCCAAGTACCTGCCAAGCATAACCTAAACAACTGAAGGAAAGGATTAAACCAAGATAACCCTTGTGAGTCTATTTTATTCACTGATCCCAACTAAATTATGGTGACACAATTTGTTACACAGAAGAAAAGATAAGGAAGGAATGCTAAAATAGAAGTATAATAAACTTAAACTACCAAAATAGCTCTTTTCTTCTTTTTTCGGATAACAGAGAATGACAACAGCCTCTGATTGTTTTTTAACCACTATTCATATAATATACATACATACATACATACATACATATATATATATATATATACACTTTTAGGCGAAAAACCACCTTTCATATTTAATTAATGGAGTATCTTTTAAAGCAAACTTTTCTCCCCAATGACGTGAATGTCAAAAACAAGATGTGCAAAGTCAAACCCTTAGAAACTTTTGCTGTTTCTGTTCGAACCACACATTGCTGACTGAAAAGTGGACAATTTTATCAGAAGTTTAATATGCAAAGCAGGAGCAACCACAACAATTAATCAACCCCAGCAGCCCATTAATAGAAGCTCAAAAGCAAAATGCAAAAGAAGATTACCAACTATGAAGGTTTTGCTTTCCGTCCAACTTGTGATACTCGCCTTAGCACTTGGGTTCCTGTCTTCATATCTCTGCAAAATATATAATAGTCCTAAATATAGTTGCAGGGACTCAGTCAAGCGGAAAATTTTAGAAATTAGGGTTTTTACCTTTGATATAAATAATAAAGAAGATAGAAAAGAGGCAGCAGCATCAAAATCAGTATTGATGTAGCCATGTAGAGTAAATTTATTTGCTTCTGAACCAATAAAAATGAGCAATTACAAACATTAACCACATTTCTTCAACAATAAAAATAAGATAAGTTAAAATGGATTTCTACATTATTTTGAATAAATGATAATGATGTTTCCAAATTTGGTATTCTAAACAAGTAGTATTACATTTTTACCAGTCACATTTAGTTAACCTTTGAATTTATTGGAGGTTTTGTGGATATCCTAAAAAAAGAGGTAGCTAATCTAGGCATCACTGTTATGCAAGCAGCAGAATGGGATTTACGATAAAAAGTGAACCCAATCATCCATGCAAAGTTCAACTTTTAACCCCAAGTCCAAACTAAACCAATTATGATAAAAAAAACCTTACCTTGCCTCCTTTAGGGAAGGGTTTTCTTTTTCCAGAGCAAGTGTGATCATCACAAAATTGGTGCAGAAACAATTCTTCGAGTAAGGGAGAATGCAACAAAAAATAAGAGATATGAGCAACAGTATGAACATACCTTTTCTAAGTAACTGGAGGATATATGTCAATACAACAGTATCAGCTTTTCAATAAGAGAAAAAAATAACAAAAGCATCCATTGATATATTCTTTGGGATATGAAAAGGCATTTATATACCATGAAGGCGGCTGGCAGAAGGACCCTGACTGGCAGGAAAACAGCTATCGGCAAGACTCTGTCCACAAGAAAAAATAGATATAAATGAGGCAAAATGCTGGAATCAACATATTATGCAAGTATAATAATTAGAAACAACCTCACAAAGATGGCGATTCCTCATAGCAGCAGCAGGATTGCATTTGGTCTTGAGCAACTTGGAACCCATCACAAAATCACAATGCAATGCTCCACATAAATCAGCCAAGCACTTGGTTTGATTCTGAATTCACTTAAGCTTTATCAGCAATATTAACATGAACCATAGTTTGTTTATGAAGATTAGAGTTCTATTCACACCCTTGACAGAAAGACGTTTAGCAAACAATTTAAAATGGAATGAATTTAGTATCAGAAGAAAAAAATTTGCTTCTCTATTCATTAAAACTGATTATGTTTTCCTTATCTTTTTAAGAGGATATATATATATATATATATATATATTCATGTCAAAAGGGAGGGTAATTTTTGTTTACAGATACAGAAGCATTACTGAAAGAAACAGACATAAGATAGTAACAGGATTGCCATCATTTGGACAATGATATCTACAATGATAGACACAGAATTACAGGAAAGCAGGCATTATGTTATAGTGCAACAAAAAAAAAAAAACCTAATGTTCATTTCAAGACAAGGAACAGGAGTCCACATACAACATTTAGAAGATTGTAGTGCCTGTTGTCAAAATGCTGATCAAGAAATGTTTCAGCACGGAAGCTTTTCTTACAATATCCACACCGCCACTCATTTACATCCAAATGAATCTTATGCTGCTCCTGATCCCTGAAAAGATCATTGTCTGGATGAAGCCTACACTTAGTCGAAATCTGATACCCTTCTTCTTCCACAAATGGCATCAAATACTACACAGTACACATGAAACATTGCATTAGCACTATGCAAAACAACTAAATGCAAAAAGTACTCTTTTTCAACCTACAGAACGCACTTTGCACTTACATCCTCTATAATTTGCCAGGCTGCCCTACTTCTTTCTCTGGAACAATGTACCTCATGAGTATGATGCGGTTCCTGCTTAAGAGTGCTAAGCATAACGATAATGAACATATCAGCTGAGTAACCTCATGAAAGAAAACACTATATCTTTTGATAAATCACAACAACCATGATCATTAGTCATTGCGAAGAATGCAACCAATTATGAGTCAATTCAAGCTTCCATCTTCCCATTTCAAACAAATTCAGTCCTATTTACATTCATAAAGAGAAATAAAGCCAAATGTCTAGTACATGGTTACCCCAATATGACAATAGAAACAGCATTACCTCGCTGCGGCAGATTCTTCAAATGTCTGCTGTATAATATAAAACAGAAGGGAAAACAAAAAAGGTCAGGTTGGACAAACAGTGCAGCTAAGCATATTCTGATATATTCAACAATGCCCTAAACTATGCTTTGAACTTCAGACTCCATATACACAAAAATATAGGATAAGGGGTTAAAGGTGCTGGGATTTGAATTCAGAGTCAAATGATATCTTTTAGGCTTTGTTTGGTAAGAATGATGAAAAGGAGTGATGATGGAAAATTTGTTAATCCAATAGTTAAAATTTATAGCCACTTTTCTACATCGTAACTTAACCATTAGATTAATAAAATTTTCATCTCACCCCTTTCATCTTTCGTACCAAACAAAGCCTTAAAGTTGACTACATGAATCAAATGAACTAAGCTTAGGGTTTACAGAAATGGAATCATTAATCATACATATGTAACAAAAAAAAGTCAAATAAATATTTTAATACACCTAAAAAGAACTTATGAACACCTAATCTAATTAACTGGAGTTATTAGGACGTAACTAAATTAGATTAAGGAATTTAAAAAGGAATTAAAGGGAAAGGAGGTGAATTTGAAATGAGCCATCAAATGAAATTCTGGAGGCAGACAATTTTAATCTAAAAGAGAAATTAATAAACCTGGGATACAGCGTTGTGCAGCAATAGAAATTCAAGGAAGAGAATTGAAGTTATTGCTTTGGCTCTTCTCTCCATCTTCCCTCCTTTTCTTCCCCTTTCTCTTCGGACGAGAGAATTAGAGCATTTTTCTCTGTAAAAAGAAAAAGTGAAAACCTTTTCTGGGAAAAATCCATGTTTGACTGCTCGGTTTCCTGGAATTTCACGTGGGGTCTGTTTGGGTACGGATAACTTAGTACTCATTCAAGGGATAAGGATTTCCTCGCACTGATTGAGAATTACGTCATACGTGTTTGTTTCCAGGCCCATTCCATTTTTTCTCAACTGGGTGCTAAGGCCCATTGAGTACTAGTAGGCAAGAAGTACTAGTAGTAGTCTGTGTTCTATCTCTTAACTTTTTTTTCTCCTTCAAAATAAGATTTTTTGCTTTTAGGTAAGAACGTAAACGAATAAAATTTTTGATAAATCGTAAGTGAATCTATTTGATTTTTGTTTATTTTTATTAGTTTATTAACTTTAATAAATGATTTTAAATAATATTTTTATATTTATTTATTAAAAGAACTAAATACGAATAAAAATTTGTTTGAATCATTTATATTCATAAATAATTTTTTTAAATTTTTATTTAAAATTTATTTATTTATTATTTGTTTATAATAATAACAATAAAATTATATTTATTTTTTATTTTAATTATATTTTAAGATTTATTTATATTAGTTTTCATTCGTTTGATTATAATTTATTTAATTTTGGTAACATATTGATTTATGTATATTTAATAATATATTTATTTAATATTTAAAAATAAACTTATTTAATTTAATCGAATCGTGAACCAAATTTATATATTTCTAACAATAATCGAATAAACCACAAGTATATATTTATTTTTTTATGTTTGATTAATTTATTTAGTGGTATGAAAAAAGTAACTCCATTAGGTTAGTCATAAAATATAACTGTAACACAATGATAATTTTTCTCACCGTACTGAAAGAGCCTTTAGACTTGTAGAATCGATGAAAATTCCTTGTCACCATCTATCCCAACGAAGCATTTAAAAACCCTCCAATGCCCTCCCTTTTTTACAATTTGCAGGTCTCAGCAAGCTTCGACCAAGCCAGCAAGACCCCTCATTAGGCTAGTTCAGTGCATATCTCAACTAACTTAAAACAATTTTTTTTTTTACTTACATAAATTAATTAGCTATGATTGCAAATTGCAAATGTCAAAAACATTAAAAAAAGAGTTATGCTTACCCTTCTCATAGTCGACTTTGCCTCCAGTTGACATCACGAACATCCTCAGTGTTATCGACTTTATAAATACAAGACGTTTTCATTTTTTTTTTATGTTAAAGTTTCACATCTTTATTCTTGACCTTTTCCAAGCTTGCATATATGAGCACAACAAAATTAGGAATTGAACGCAGATGTAACCCACATTAGTGATGCGTTTGAGATCCTGCATTGTTCTTGCTTTGCTCTATGTTTCCTTTCTTCTTCATCCAGCTTCTTTTCTTCTTGCTATTTATCATGGATTTCTTCTTTGCTGCCTTGTTGCCCTTTACCTCTTTCTCAAGAGCTTTTGAAAACGTCACCCCACACATCATAAACTCCATCCTTTTTTCTAACGGATAATAAGGCATGCTTGGTTCTTCCTTGTTTTTATTTGTTTTTTTTTTCTAATTAAGCTTTAAGAAATTCTGAAGCAGGACCGGTCCAAGCAGATTTATCCATATTGAGTTTTAAAAATTCATACAAAGAAATTACATTTTCATCACCTTCCGAAGATTCGAACTTTGCCTTGATTCATGTCATTTGATCACCTTACTCGTGAAAGCAGAAGTAATTAACCAAGAAAACAAAAGAAGATCATCAAAGGTAATCTTGAAGGGTGTGTTTTTATTCGGGTATTTACAAAATTGGAACACCCATACCATTCATGTATGGCATGGTAATCATTCATGTATAGCATGGTAATCGATGTGCAACCTGACTCATTTTCTTTGTCTCAATCATATCATTCTCTACTTTCTCCTAGAATTCAAACCCCTTAGCTTCCAAAATCCGATTAAAAATATCAGGTACTAGCTGCTTCAAATCAATAGAAAACAAGTTTCATATCTCCATTTCTATTCCCCCATTAATAGAACTTTCTAATATTTTGTACTATATGCACCAAAATTATTTTGGAGCTAATAAATATTTTACCACAAAAAGTACGGTTCTAGTAACAGTTGTCGTGTTTGCGTGTGCGACTAACTTGTAGTTCGAAGAACATAATTTAAACCAACAAAATATTTTACTTTTTAATGGCTTGTGACGAAGTTGAATATACCGCAAGCACAGGGCGATAAATTCTTAAATTTTCTTCTTTCCTCTCTTTCTTGAACTCGTTTCCGGCCCTTCTGCCTCTTCAACCTTCTGTTCTGCCTCTAATATGGCCAACTGCAACATACAGAAAGAAACAGAATGATCTCATTAGCTGTGAAATGGGTTTGATTACTTGGCAATCAGGCAGTGGTGTAATATAAACATCTAGAAAGACAGTGAGACCTTTACCTCATCAAGAAGTGGTTTAAGTTCCCTGTAACGAACCTCAGCAAGATCGAAACCATCCTTACGGAGCTCCTGCAAAGCCAAAGATGGCATCCAATTTTGTACCCGAAAAAAGAATAAAAGGCGCATCATGTTGCATGTACATGAACACATTGATATATTCGTGCACAATCCTTGCAAGTGTTTGCAGTTGCGTGCATTTGAAAGAGGGAATAGAAAAAGTAAAACATAATAAACAGGGATGGAAGGTATTCTCAGTTTTAGAAGAGCAAAACAAGCTCTACCACATTTATCAAACAGAACAAAATACAACAAAGCAGAAGAACTAACATATGCTTGGCAAATAGTTAGATCCATTTAATTTTAAAACAAATAGTGTTAAACAATTTAATAAACAGACCTTGCCAGTGTGCTGAGTGTGTTCATGGGCAGCCATTTGCCAGTACAAGCTAGTACGTCTGTAGAAATCCCTCAAGGATTCTCCAGGCTGCAAAAGGAAACACATGGCAACCAATCAGTTTAAGATCAGAGGGTATAAGCCATAAAGTAACTTTATAGAAACCTAAAGATAGTAATAGGTTCATCATGCAAACAGCAGCTACGACTAACCAATGCAAAACTACATCAACATAAACTTAAACATTATCTTGCAACATAGGTTCAAATTTGGAAAATTTTGTGAAGGGACTACCATTGGTGTTCTCTGTGAATCAGACAGGCCAAGGTTAGCTCTGATCTGCTCTATCCTGGCTCGTTTCTCTTTCCTTCGCAGATTCTTTCCCTCACCCCTTACAAAAGCAACAGCATCTCCCATTTGAAGTGATCTTGCACTATCATTTCTAGCCTGCATGGACAAGTGAATTCTAAGAATATAAGCTGGCCAGTTCATATTTTTCAAAAATGTCAAAGAAACAAGCACCAGCTTCCACTAAAATATTTTACAAAATCTATTTCCCAGACTTATATCTACATATTCTTCATGTTAAAAATTTGTTTTTAAAGATATAAAAAGAGATGAAGGAAGAAAAGAAATAAGGAATTCCACAGGCAGAAGAGATCTAGGATGTAATCTTCTTGCTGATGATGAAACAGCATAAAGAGAAGCAGTTAACAAATATGCATTTTGGCTGAAACAAGTAAGAAGAGGCACCTCTGCATCATCATCATCATCATCATCATCAGTCTCCTCACCATTGCTACCACTCTCACCTTCATCTTCACTGCCATCTTCATCTTCGTCCTCATCCTCATCTTCATCCTCTGAGGCTTCTACCCATTCACTTTCAGATGCCTAGGAATTGAGGGGGATAAGGAAAAGGAAAAGTAAAGCAGAGCCAGGAAAAATTTTTAAATAATAGATTTATGGATATTTCAAAGATTCAGCTTTTAGGATATGAATCTAGAAAGTGCCTGGAAAAGGGGTTGTGCAGAGGAGAAAACTAATCCAAATCTCAGTATCGTTTTATGTTCTTAACAAGATCTATCTCATCCCATTCAACATTATCAACAAGTTGTCACAACATTGGGATGAATAACACTAATGATGATTTGTAAGAGTTATAATAGGTAAGAAATGAATAAATGAACACTGTGGAGAAGGGAATTCAACAAACCGGTATGATGCACTTCCATTCGTCAAGTTTACTAAGATTAAGAGAGTACAAATCATCAAGTGTAATTTCTTGATCTTTAACCTCCATCATGCCCCCGTATACATATAGAGTATCTTTACCAACAACCATGCAGGAATTAATACGTCCACAAGGCTTTACAATCTGAAATTGATGGCAGATTCAAGTATCAATAAATGGGACATATCTAAAACCAATAAACAATTATTTTAATGGATGACAAACCTCTGGCGAAACAGAGTTTTGAAAACTCAATTTACATTTAGATTGTTGAGGCTTTGCAGCAGATTTAATTGACCCATCATCATCAATTGCCATGTTTGTTACCATGTGCTGAGACATTTCATCAATGTTGCTTTTGCCATCATCTGCTTCTTCATCATACTCTAAAATCTGGTCTTTATCACCTGCGCCACTAGACTCTGCTTCACTAGCATCTAACTTATCATTAGAATCAGAACCATTAGGTTCTTGTTTTGAATCCATTTTTAACTGCAAAACACCAATTCAAAAGCAACTCTGTGTTATTATTAAAATGAAAGCTATCACAAGTGAATTATAATTATAATTATAATTATAATTATAATTGAATCATCAACAAAATAAAGGCTACCACAACTTCAAAGGCGAAAAGAGAAAGTAGTACCATTTGGAGAGAGAGAGAGAGAGAAGATGGGGGTGGGAGAAGAGCAAACTAACAGAACACTAAAACAGACTTGTAACCAGTAGATAGATACAATGCTAACTATACCTTAACCTTGGTTGACTTTTCCTTCCGTAACTCCAAAGGATACCTAAATAAGAACAACATGCTCATTTAGTGACAAAAATAGCACTATTACCCAACAAATTTATCACCCATTTCAAATTTAGGCTAAAACGAATATAATGCATAGGAGGTAAGACCAAAAAAAGGGGACTGCAATAACTCCTTAATGAACGTAAAGTTTTTCCTTTGTTCAAAATTAATTTACTAAGCCTGCAGACTGAGCTATTAACAAATGACCAGCTCATTATTCCATGATAGTTTTAAATTGTCAGATAGAATTTCAGAAAATACAAACAAAAATTCTACTCAGTAATAGAAATTAAAGATTCTAAGCTATTGAATGGTAAAGTAACATAAGAGCAGGCTTACCATCGGTGGTTATCTAGTTGGAAGCCATAAAGTTCATTCAAGAATAAGCTCATCATTACATCACCTGCACAGATAAATTTAGTCAGAAGCAAAAAAGACAATGATTAACTCAGAATCATCAACTAACAGACTACATTAAACCAATGGGTGAAGCAGGGAACATCACCTCTATCCTCCACAAAGAATGCAGTTTGTTGGATTCCAGCTTAAGACATGATTATTTAATAAAAGACAAACAGAAATATTATTACATTAACAATCTAAAATTAAATCTCATTTTTTCCTCCATTGTCATTTCAGAACCGTGAACTAAAACATGTCACAGGCCCACACAGTAGAATCATTGATTTTAGTAAAATAAAAGGCCAAACTTTCTTCTTTTATTATCTCCTTGCAGCTTAATCGGATATTTCCCACACGGATTTACTATTAAACACTACCAAGTTTTCTTTTTCCAAAAAAACTTGGCTCACAAATATCTTCTTCAAAGACATCCGGGGTCATAAACCAGGCAATTTTTTTTTCTAAACAAACGGACCACAAGACAAGAAGATAAATCATTTATATTATACTATATTATAAGTGTGTATCTATCAGAGGGCTCAGTAGTTAGCAAATTTTGGCTATAATAGTGGCAATACAAATTTCCACACTTAAAATATTTGAAAATTTCTAATTCAGTTCGGCATGATGAAACCATGAAGCTTTCTCACAGTATAACTCAGCTTAATACTTCAACTTTTCACATGATAAGTACAAGTTACCACAAGAAGAGGAATGGCTCAAGATCACATGATTGCAGTTTGCAAATTCAAAGCTCTTTGTGTGTGTGCGTGGTTTGTCTTTTGGGATGTCATAAATTGAGACATGTAGACAGATTTAGTGATTATATCATTAAAAGGGATAACATTTGAGTCATAAAATTCCAAAAAGAGCAACTGCTTTCAATAATTAAAATTTCAACACGAACAGAACAATTGATACATGCATTAATTTTCCTTGTATCTGAAGCCACGAAGACAAGTTCATTGATATCATTATCCTTGTGTGGATTTTTAGATATTTAAACAGAGTAAACAGTAGATGAAGAGGCTAAAACCCAAAACCTGGTCAAAGCTGACACAAAACATCCATTTAGAAAGAGAACTTTTTCCACAAGAAAATGAGAGAGATTGGGGCAGGGGGAACTTACCTTCCATTTCCATATCTACTACACCCCCAAATAGCAAAGCCCGCTTTTTATGAACACACATGGAAAACCCAGCACGAGCACCTGGAGGCATCCCACTTTTTTTAACCTATTAGACAAGAAGCGATATCATATACAAACAAACACGTTGACAGTAAAAAGAATTCTAGAAAGGATTTCCAAAATAAGAAAGCTCTTCAATAGAAAGTAAATGTTACAAAAGACATATCAACAAGAATTTGTACACACTGATAAAAGATTACAAGAATATAAAATCAAAAGTACTTATGAAATCATGCCATAAAAAATGCTCCATTTTCAGGAGACTACGACTTTAAACAGCATAGAAAATGATGGTTGACCTATAAGTACCGGTTAGCTTTTCCAAGGGCAAAGGATACCGGGTTTTGACTGTATAATATAATTGTTTTATTTCAGCAGAAAGAAATGTATCATAATACATGTTACACTATGCTTTCATTTCATCACCATTTTATTCATACTTATTGGATACAAACCTTGTTCCACTCCCAAGTCCTAGGATCAAGGGACCACATGTCTGAATGAACAATTCCTTTCTCAGAGATGGTCTTATCAGAAGACAATTCTTTGGAGTAGCCACCATATAAAAGAATCTGCAAATTTATATTAAAAACGGAATTAATATTAATACATAAATCTCACTTCTTTACAAAATGCTCTTGTTTGGAACTGGTAAGAAGGATTCCTAGGCAAAATCCATTAATAAGCTAGCTGACACAACCAGGCATTAATCAGAATAGAAGACACCATCAATTGACTAAGTGGTATCAAGTACAAGCACAGTAAAGTTAGAACTAACCAATGTCTACCAAACTTAGTTGACAATCATTCACCAACATTCTTTTTCAAATGCTTTACCCCTTTTTTTGACTGGGAAAATTACTGGGTTGAAACCTGTTTTAATCATCTCACAAGATGAAGGGTTTCAAGAGAAGCAGAGAACCCCTATGAAAACAGGAAAACGACCATGTAAGAGAGGAACTGGACATTGGACACATTTTATATGTGGGTCTCATGTTTATTGTTAATTGACATCATGAGATTAGTCAAAAGTAACAAATTTCTATTTTTTTTTATATTTAATTACTACACACAAACCCACAAGGGATATGGGGATATGAAACTAGAATTTCCCAAGGTCTCACCTCCGCTTACTGCTGAAGAAGCCTAATTAGCATTTCTGATCTAATTAATACTATAATATATGGATTTTGGACTGAAGGCAAAATCAATGTAACATAATGTTTTACATGAGCTAGAATAAAAATAAACTCATGTAATTTTTTATCATTCATACACAAAAACTTCGGCATAAAATAACTCCTAATACAAATATGCATTGGTAATTATTTTGACCATTTATGCTCCACACTTCCCTCCCATAATACTTCTATAGGATTTTGAATTGGCATTAGAATACCAGTCAAATAAATTAAAATATTTTTGCCTAGCTTTAAGATGGTTCTCATGCATAATAGAGGCACCAACTACATTCTTAACTATTTTGGCATCTATATAAACTTCAAAAAAGTTTTCCCTTTCCTGTTGTTTTATTAAAATTCAAAAAATCTGCTTTAAATCAAAGGAATCACCAATAGAATCGCATGGTTTTTAACCCACTCAAGATTCCAGATACCAAGACCATATAAACAGTTACAAGAAATTGTAGAAAATTGTATATCAATTGCCAATTATCAGGATTCATACAGAAAAATTTAGCATTATAGAAGAAATTCAAGAAAGACTTGAACATGCAAAATTCCCTCAGATCTCCACCAAAATTCAAGTATATAAGAGTTACAAAGGTGGCCCAAATGTCACATTACATCTTAGGCAAACTATAGCAAATTAATACAGGCAACATTTTTCACTACTAGCTTAAATTTTAAGCATTTAATAGCTTCACGATGCCTAATCAGGTGCATATTTGGCCAACTCACCTGATCTTGATACACGAAAAATTGAAAACCACTCCGAGCACTAGGCCACATGGACCCAAGCTTAGGCTTTATTTCTTGCCACTAAAATCCAAATGCACAATTTTTAGTTCAACAACTGAAGGAAACTTAACATATAAAACACCATAAATTAAATCAACAAAAGAGAGAGACATGTTTACCTTGAATTCATCTAGGTCAAAGATGTACAAATCATTATGATACCTGTAAACAAGTGAACTTAGGTGCGGAAAAAAGTCCATATCAACCTTGAATAACAAAGAGTAACAATTTTAAGTAAAATAAAGAAAGGTACGGTTCATTGATGAAAAAAAGGTAATGAAAGTTAAAGGATGATATTTCAATAATGGCATCATTGATATACTCTGTAGAGAACATTAAAGACAATTGAGTACTTCAGCTTTCAATACCACATGGATAAAAGGGAGAAAATATATAAAGTTCCTGAATCTTAGTTCAGCTTCTGTCTCCTAGAATCTTTACAAATTACGATGAATTTTGAATAAAATTCCTAACAGTTTGGCAAAATAGAAAAACCTAGAAGTTGGAAGAGGAAGGTCATTACTTGGATAAGAATTAATCTCTCGTCAAATCATCTCTATATCTTATTTTATTGATACCACAGGACATGAGGTAATTAACTCAATTTCCAAATTCTTAATAAGCAGTTTTCATACATCTCAAGATTAGCTATTGCAACAACTAAGAACAGGAAATACATCATATTATACAGTGTGCTCATGAATGTTGATAAATATTAAATAAAGCTCAAAATAGATAAGAGTAAATTGATTAAATGTTCTGAAAAGTTTCAATTGTAAATAAGTAATATGAAACCTTCAACAGTATCTGAAAAAGACCATTAACAACCTCACTTCTCTGAGAGTATCATAGAAGCCACCAAAAACAATAATCTTGTGCTTGTACAGGACCTGCAGCAAGACCAAGATGAACAAGATAACAAAAAGAGTATGCATAGACACCTTTTTTTCTTCTAAATTGGCATTAAAACCTACAGAAATTTAACATAATTTCGTCTCTTTGGTGTCAATCTTCCTGAGAGAGAGAAATTCCAAAGGATGATTTGTTTTCTTATAAATAAACTATGCAAATATCAAAGTAAAGAAACCTAATCTTACCATTCGATGACCAGACCGTGGACTTGGACATCCCTTCAAATTTAGTTGTTCCCATTGATTTGTTTTCAGATCCAACATCCAAAAGTCCTAAAAGAATTTTCAACTTGAAAATTGAGCCTCAAAAACAAAAGCTAAAAGGGAGAGGGAGGGAAGGATGCAATGAAGCAGTCTAAAACAGGTTTCACCTTGTAATGATGGAACCGCTCTTGATTTGGAGATGTGAATTCACCACCTAAAAACAAAAAACCACAGTAACGTTTTAGATGAAGAAAATTCAAGAGTTAGCGTGATTGCTGATATATATATCAAGGCAAAGTTTAGCAATCTACCAAAGATATAGAGATAATTCTTCCAAGCAACTGCCTGATGCGCACTTCGAGGAGGCGGACTGTTAGGACTTGAAACCAACTTCCATTCCATCTTTTCCACATCGCACCTGTAAAGATCACCATACACAAATGTCTACACCAATCCAAATCAGCATCATTTGCTAAATCAAAGCGGCAACAATTAATTTACTCCAAATCAATCACTATGGTCAAAACAGTTCATTTTCAAATCTAACCTTGCTACCATTGTAGAATTCACCCCCGTATAGTATCAACTCTGTATCTTTCATTGGATTAATGCTTAACTACACAATTAAGTCAAAATTAACAAGGAACCAATTTTATTGAAAAAAAAAAAAAAACTTGATAAAAATGGCTAAGTAGTTATAGTCAAGGCATTACTGTGCAGTTTGATCGAGGAGATGGCGCAGGGACATTTTCGTCAATATGAACTTCCTTTTTCTTTGCTTCCTCCTTTTGAATACTCAACTGAGAACTCAAAGTACATATTCAAATGAATAATTTTAAATCCAGATTTAAAAAAAAAAAAGTATGAGTTTCTTCATTGTTTCATCTGAATTAACCGAAATTGCTTTAAAAAAATCGTAAAATTATATATCCTCGAAAATAATTCTTAGCATGAAATTATCTATGGAAAACGAAACAGAAACAAATCCAGGATTTGTCGATTACCAAAATGGCGTCAATGTCATCTTCAGGGGAGAGTTTCTTGGACTCTCTTCGAGCTCTCTTTTCATCAGCTTTGGCGGTTTTCCTTTCCGTTTTCTCTTTGCCTTTTCCTGGCTTCTTCGTTTTCTTCCCCATTTTTTTAAGATTTTGAATTAACTTTGCTGCTCCGACCGAAAGCCTGCTATTCTCAAGTTCATTGGAGAAACAGAGTGGGTTTTGGAGAAACCAGAAAAAGCAGAAACCTTTTCTTGATCAACGATGTCGTTTCATGTTTGTAAACACTAAAATCCATTAAAACATCGTCGTTTTAATATCCTTATGCTTCCATAACTTTGAACGGGCCGAGTCTAGTTTTGAGAAAACCCGTAAATCTTGGGTTTAGGAGATAGCCCCCGAAAGCATATAAAAAGCTATTTTATTTTTAATCGGGTCAGGCCCGATGTCTCAATTGGCCCCGCAAAATTTTGGGTTTAGATAAAAACCCAAAATAAAAACAAATAAAAATGAGCTACCATTATATTTTTTCCAAATAAAAAATTATCCTTTTAAAATTGTCCTTTATCATTCCTAATTGAAGAAGAAAAGCTTTGTTGCTTGAAAAAGAAAATTTTGTTGCTATTATCTTTTTTTCTATAAATAAAAGATTTTTTTTATCCAAAAAAAAAAGGTTACAATCTCAACAATGCCCTAGGCGTTAGTTATCAATAAACAATTTATTTATAAAAATATTAATTTAATTTAAATTAATAATTTAGTTACAATTTTAGTTTTAATCTCTTTTTTCTCTTTACTTTTTATCTTTCTTACCAAAAATATTTATATACTTTTTTTCTTTTTCTTTTTTCTAGGCAAATCACATGCTTTTTGTGAATTTAGGCATCAACATTACCTATGAGTAACGTTCCAGTTACAATAAACAAGCCATTTTTTTAGTTCTGCAAATGAGAAATTGGCAGTTAAAGCCATTGTTATGGCACACAATCACAAGCAAAGCCGTTTCAACTTTAAAGGGTTTGTCACAAAAACGAGAGTCCTTATATATATAATTTCCAGGGTTCATCTCTTTCTAGGAAAAAAATATTTTTCGTTAGCACAGTACTTCAATTTTAATTATATGGGGAAAAAGCTGATCAGTATTTTAAATGAAACCAGCAGTTCTATCAGAAACTGTATCTTTCGTGTTCTTAGAATTGGTCCCATCCCAAATCACATTGCTTTTGTCATGGATGGCAACCGACGATATGCTAAAGAGAAGAAGCTGGAGCTCGATGGGACTGCTGGCCATGATGCGGGTGCGTTGGCTATCATGTTAATGTTCATGTACTGCTATGAGCTTGGAGTGAAATATGTTACTGTCTATGCCTTTAGCATTGACAATTTCAAAAGAAAGCCAGAAGAAGTTCAAACACTGACGGATAGAATGTTGCAGAAACTTGAACTCTTAACTTCCATGGCGAACCGTTTTGCAGTTAGGGTTCATTTCGCAGGGAATCTAAAGCTCTTAGTGCTGATCTTAGGGTTGCAGCCGAGAAACTTATGAAAGTTAGTGCTGATTACTCAAATTCCGTGCTTACAATTTGTGTTGCCTACACTTCCACCGACCAGAACTTGCGTTCTATTCAAGAATCTCGTGAAGAAAAATGCAATGATCATGTTCAAGAAATCTGTAGTGATGATGATCGGGAGCTTGTTGTGAAGTTAGTGGACCTTGAAAAGCACATGGATATAGCATTTGCACCAGATCCTGACATAGTAATCCTCACGGCAGGAGAGAACCGCCTAAGCAATTTCTTGCTCTGGCAGAGTTTTTGCAGCCATTTATCTACCATGTTCATACTTTGGCCAGAGATTGGCTTCTGGCATTTGTTGTGGGCAGTCTTGAATTTTCAGCGAAATCAACCCTACTTTGAGAAGAAAAAAAAAATTAAAGCACATGTAAACCTTGCAAACTCCAATGTATTTGCATATAATTAATATCCAAAATTAAATTCTAACATCAAGAAGTTCTCATTTCTTAAAAAAAAATTATGTCAAAGAATTACTATAAAATTTAACCAAAATTTTAATTTATGCATTCTTCTCGAAGAACAAGATTCAAATTTTTATTTCCTAATAAAAAAAAATCAAATTCTTAATGTCCTTATAATAATTTTAGATCTTTCTATCTTAATAAAAATTAACAAATCTCCTAGTTCTAATTCCTCACTCATATGGCCAAAAAATAAAAAAGTCCTCATTCCTAAACTCACTAGGTGGAACACTTACATTAAGAACCAATTTGGAACAACTCAATATAGCTAAAACTATATATTATGAAATATATATAAAAAAAAAAAAACAAGTCATAGCCCAATAATAAAAAAAAAGAATTACATGCACTTTTGAATCCAAACCAAGTTAATACTATATTTTAAGAGTGGTTGCACAAATTATCTGAATATCCTATTAATATATATATATATAAGATACAAAAGCACAAGATTAAAGATACAAACTATAAGATTTAAGACAAAAGAAGAAATCTCAATGGCCCTAGAATCCTGATTTCTTTTTAATTTTAAAACATCATAGAATCTTTTTTTTTCTCATTCAAATAAGGTATATATATTTTATAAAAGGCATAGAATATTTCCTTTCTTATGCTTGTAAATAGTAATGAAGATCAAAATCCAAAAGAGACCAAGATAAAGTCGTTAGGTATGCGTTTGATTTAAGATGGACAGACGTCAAAAGCATCCTAATTTCGTCAACAATATTCCTAATTTTCACCAATAAGGAACGAGGAAAAAGGAACCATCCAATTTAGCATAGCAACCATTGATTAAATATTGGTTGAATAACATAATACTCAAATATATAGTGACCAGATTGAAGATATTGGATTTATCAAATTCATCACGTTTATTGTGAAAGCAAATTGTTAAGAATATTTTTTGATTCAAATGATATATTAGTCTTTTTTTTTATTAGAGATAGTTAGTAGATAATTAAGAACATTTTCAATTTTTGGGTCGGCTGACATATTACGTCATTATTTTATCTTAAAAATCTATTACTTTTTATTTATAAATAGAATCATTTAAATACTATTCATCTATCTTATTTTTTTCTTTTATTTTCTACATTTTTACTCTCATTTTTACCTCTAATAGCCAAAATTTGATTTAAACATCATAATATAAACGTAAAGAATATTCTCTACTTATGTCTTTAACTGCTTTTTTTTTAGCAATGATTTCAAGAATTTGACCCATAGCTTGAAATTCAACATCAACGCAAATTTTTGTGCAAATTTTAGATAAAATTAGTTGAATTAATATGATTCGAATAATTTACTTATAAGATTTAAGTTCAAGTCTCATTATTAATCATTTTTATTTGTAGATAATCTGTAAATTTAATATAAATCATTTTTGAAACATGATGTAATCCATTTTAAATCAGAAAGGAAAAAACTTCATCTTACCTTAAATTTTTATGCAGATTAGATGATTTCTTATGTAAGATATCGATTTCTCTTGTTTTTTCAATGAAATTAATAAACGAAGCCGTAATATCTTGAGCTAATCAAACAAACAAAAATTGGATGAAATTATGGAGGGATACCATTAAAAAAATATACAGTAAGGTACCCTTAAAAGAAGAGCCCCTTCTTCCTCTTCAACCCTCTTTAGTCATGCCTCTGGCTAGTGCTGCTGTAACTGCCATTCTCGCCATCCTTTTATCACAAGAGCTTTCTCACACCCTTTTCTTAAGTAATTCCAAAACCTAAAACTAATCCAGCTTTTTCCATTTTTCAGTTTTTTTTTCTTTATATCCTTACTTTTAGCTTCCCTTGTCTCTTAAAAGAAGAACCCACTGCAGTTTTAAAGCTTCGACAATGGCACTAAAATACTATAAACCACTACTCACGCATGCAACATTAAAATCTTTGGAATCCTTAGAGATTTTTAAAGTGACCCACAGATGAAAAGAATTGAATTATTTTTTGATGTAGGATTAGTAGGCAGGCTGGCAACAGGTACCTTCTGAGCTAATCACGTAGCCCCAGCCAGCATGCCTGACTAATCCATTACTTGATTGCTTTATTCATTTTCTGGTTTGTGAATTGCTGCTGATCACTGATTGATCAGATAAAAAGATAGAGAAGAAAAAAAATTTTTTTTCCTTTTTATGTTTATTAATTAGTGTTCTTTTCAATTGAAATTGGAGAGGGAGGTGGAATCTTTTTCAAGTAACGAGGAAGAATGAAAGTTTTTGAACTAATTGAAAGGCATGTGCCATATAAAATTCTTTAATCAAATATTTTACTATCTTTTTAGCTAGCTAGCCAAGTAGATTAGAAGTACTTTTGTTAGCACAAACAGATGTTGGCTCAAGTAATTTTGTTAGTTCTACGAGTTTGATTTTATCGAAAAATTACCAAAATAATTTTTTATAAATTCATTAAATTCAATAAAAATAAATTAATTTGAATCGGTTCGAGAAAAGATGACGAATGACTTGCATTCTCTTGATATTGTACAATTTTAAATACTACCATTAAACAATATATCAAATTAACAAATATTGTCATCAAAACTTGGGTCATAGATTTTTTTTCCATATGGTTTGCAAATTAAGTAGCTTAATGGAATTAATTGACAGATTCCTTTGGAGTTTGGACCTACATGATTATAAAAATAATTTTAGATTGATTAAAAGATTTTGATTTTGGAATTTTCGAGCTACTACTTTAAACATATAATTTTCCTACCAACTTGGTCTACAACATTTTATTTCCTCTCTTCTGATTTTGAGGGACATGTATAATTTTAGCCAGCATGGGCAGATATTATTGATTATTAAATTAGATATTTGAACAAAGTTTTCCCATTTCTTGCATCTATATGTACAATATTTTTCGTTGTTGACATGACCAATCTCAGCTTGAAAAGTTGATTATTTTGCTAATTACTAATTCACAGTGTATAGATTTTGATTAATTTTTTTCCTTTTATTTTAAGTTAAATAAATCTAAATTCATATCTATTAAATATTGTTCTTATCAATATATGCTTTGTTGGCTAATTTATCAATATATGCTTTTACAGTGTAATAATTCATTTAAACTCTTCAGACATAAATAATAATTATGATTGTCATTTCTATATATTTAAAATTTTAATTTTAATTTTAATTTTAATTTTATGTTTTAATACTTTGTAAAACTATAAGTAATTGATTTTAAATTATTATAAATTAAAATTTATTTTTAGTTTAT